CCGCAAGTCAAACCATAGCGCGATGTAGTAGCGCTACAGCGACATCTAGCTTAAGAATTTGATACTTCATATCAGTGAAAATTATGCAGAATTAACTATAAGATAAGCTTTCCGTAATGCTGCTTTTGAATTATGATCGGATCTACCAGCTATATGGCCGGCCCATTGCCACTTCGGCTTATTAATCTTCTGGGTTATTTCCTTTTTGTTTACTATCTTTGTGTTAGTGCTGATATTTTAATTGATCGAAGACAATCAGAATCGAAGAAAAAACAGATCTTTCAATTCTTTCACTCATAGAAATACCGAGTATGGCTCACTCCATAGCTTGCTGAGCGACTATGAGTGACATCTCACTCATTACATCGAAATCCTTATTACCAACTTGTCAAGTTTTTATATTATATGTATACTTATATAATATATAACGTTTGCTCTACGTTTATTACGATTCATTAGTTTTTAATTAATTAAAAAAAATATATTTTGAAAATTTTGCTATAAAACATAAAATATCCACATTATTACTTTTTTTTGCTCAAAAAGTTGCTCTCAATTTGGTCTATTAATTAAAAAAATATAAAAATTTTGCAATATTTATAATAATTAATATAAAAAACATATTTGCATGTAAATTGGTGCACTATGACGTCATCATCGGCCGTTGAATTCATTGAAAGCAATGTTTACATGAATATTCGTCACGACAATTTCATGTTTACCTTTATGTTAATTTTAGATTTGGATATTTTATGTTTTATAGCAAAATTAAATTTTCGAAAGTATTTTTTTTTTAATTAATGAATAGTAATTAATAAACATGGAGCAATTACGGATTCTAATGGAGCAATTCAAGAGCAATTAATTGAGCATATCGTTTAATTAAAAAAATATATATTCTACCCTAACTTCCTTCCGGTCTTCAGTTTGCTATCAATAAAATGTGTTAAGCAAGTACGCCTAATATTGACCAAGCTTAAATGATTGTTTTACTAACGAGACGAGTCAACAATTTACATTCATTCTTCATAACTAAATAACAACAGTTAAAAAATTCGACAATGTTGTATTTCTGGTAATTGAATAACAAATAGGTCCTGCATCGATCGGAAAAATGTGTGCTGTCTTTGCTCCGGTAGAATATAATTGTTTAGTTTTTAATTTGTAACTACTAGAACTTGCCAGTAGATCATTATATAAAACAATCGTTAAACTTATACAGTTCGTGGCAATATTATAAGTTCCTTTTAATCAATCCTATGTTGCCCCAAATTCGAGTACGCTGCGTGATTTTTCTTTTCTGTACTGTATCACGGGAAAACAACAATTTTACTCGATTTATAGTTTTAGATTTATTTAATGTTAGTGAAGATAACTTACGCCGTGGAGTTGTTCTACGAAATTTATCTTAACTGGTAAATATTTTTTTGTTTTTATATTTTAGGACACATTTTTACACAACATTCTCTAGTCCCAAACTAAGCAAAGCTTGTACTATGGTACTAGAAAACTGATAAACATACATAAACATACTTTTCTTTTGTAAATAAATACATATTATACATATATTTACAACAACGCTATTCGGGTCGTCGATATATAAAAGGTACTTATCTTAAAATAATAAAATGAACCTGTTACGAACAAATTTAAATAACAGTTCTTATTCCATGCGTCTCTATTCATGCTTACGACTGTAATGTTAGTTAGAAAGAGACAGAATCTGTTCCTGCTCATTGTTACTTAACATTATGTCGCTGTCAAAAGCTCATTCTTTTTTTTTGTTACTACTATACCGAAAACCGCTGTTACCGTAACACGGACAGACATATACCTTTATGGTTAAAGTAACTTAGTCGTGCTCACAAAATAATATGAAATAACAGGCTGTTATCTTGTACTAGGTTTGTCATTGTCGTATGATAGGACCTGGTGATACAAGATATACAGGCATTTGATTTTATCTTATATAACTCAGCCGCTCAGCCCAGCGATAGACTTTATATGTATACGTATAAGTTGCCCTACGGACGTAGGGCGTCAAAAATAGAGTAAGACTCATTTGAGTGTTCCCCTCCACGGAAATCTTTAGTAAAAGGCGAAAGATTTATACGTTTTGAAGGGAAACCAGAGTAATTCAAATTAATTCTGAATTGCCCATATACGCTGCCGCAAGTCAAACCATACCGCGATGTAATAGCAATACAGCGACATCTAGTTTCAGTATCTGAAACTTGGTATGAATGCAAGAACGGCAATGTTCGCAAAGCGCCTATCGAAAGCATCGCTGCAACTCGCACGACTTAATTTGCATGCTGTTACATTATGTACAATTGTCAACTTACATCAGTTAGTAGGTACTTTACTTTTTTATATTCAGTGTGCTACCGCTCTGTGACTAAGTACATTACAAGTCTTGTAAAGCTTCTGAAATATTTTTATTTACCTAAATTACCTGGACTATCTCCCAATCAGGTAGAGACTTGTTATTTGCGATGCAATATGAATAGGTTGCTATTAACCAAATCCTCACAAAAGGACACCGTTACCTACAAAGGATGATTTGCGAGGCTATTGAAATAAAGAAACATCCTAATTTTGCATAAAACTATGCATTGAAGGTAGTCTGAGTTAACTGTAATATTAACTCTTATGACAATCACGGGCTGAAATGTTAAAAAGTTAGGCAGCATATACGGAAACTTTATATTAGAATTTTTCTACTACAATTGAATTATCGTAGTTATTCTATGCGTAATTTTCATAAGCTGAGTATTTACTTGCTTTTATAGACGATCGATTACATAATAACTCTTATCATGTTACTGGGATCAACTAGATCGGTTAAGTCAAATTATAAGAAAATTATAACAGTGTAACCAAAAGGTCTTTGTGCGTGTGTTATATTCGTCGTAAAGTAAAGTAAAGTATCAGCGTATACATGCCCCTCTGCTGGGCCAAGGCCTCCTCTGTACATAGGGTATCAGGGCATAGTCCACCACGCGGCCCCACTGCCGATTGGCGAACTTCACATATTTTTGTTATTATTTCGAAAATATGCAGGCTTCCTCACGATGTTTTCCTTCACCCCTGAACACATGATTGTTCGGCACTTAAAATTAACAATTTCATTGGTGCCGGCACCGGGGATCGAACTCAGGCTGCGCCCGGACACTGAACTTTCGCAGCTTGTCGTCGCTCCCAATTAATTTCAAATAGAGCATTTAATAAACATACAGAACAAATTTTAAAAATACAGAGATTACTAACGATTTTCCATGTTTCCTACTCCTAGTACTATAAATATTATTACAAATGATGTAACTCCTTTGCGACTTATTCTGATACAATAAATTAACTAAGAAAATTGCTAGGTCTAATGTCTATTCTTTTACTCGTAAACTAAACCCAATCCATGTTTCGTACAAATTGAGTGACATTATACTTACCAGAGTAACATCTATTACAGAGCTAGATGTAATTTACGACTCCAAATTACGCATTAGGGTTTATAATAAATTATATATTATTAAATTATATATTAAAAATAATGCTCATGTCAAGTGAGCTTAACTCTATAAAGACAATCATCCTAGAAAGTGCTGGGTGCGCAGTCATTTGGAATATGCCTCTCGGGTTTGGAATCCAAGCATCTATGTTGATCGTCTCGAGCAAATCTTTTAGGTTGTTTGCAATTTCAATATAAATCTTATAACTCAGACTACACTAAACGGTGTCAAATCTTTCACTATCTTCCCCTAGAAGACAGAAGGCTCATAGCAGATATTGTTTAATTACATATACATATACATAGCAAATAGCTCGGTCGACTGTCCAGTTATTAGATGACATAAGCTTAAATTACAACCGCCGCATATTGCAGTTTTATACTGAAGTTTTACATGTATCATTGGCCGGAACGAATTACACACAGAATTCCTTCCTTATACAAGCAGATGTTTTAACGCGGTAGCTAAGCGACACGATAAAACGTTGATTTGTGTAATACATCTTTCAATCAGATTAAAAAAAGGCCTTAGCAACGCATTTTTTAAAAATTACTTGATAATGTATTTTTGTAAATTTTTTAATAATTGTCATTGTAAACTCCACGTTTGGCATTCGTCTTTGTACGCATTTATCCAATTGTGGAAACTTTTAATTGGCCTTCTGTATTTATTATGTAATACTTTACTTATGTGCTAGCTAATAGTTTCGAAGAAATAAGTACTTTTAATGTCAAATGAACATTTAATGGTGAAAGCATGGTAGGCTACGATTAAATAAAGTTGTAAATTTAGGACTCTACCGTTCTTGCATTCATACCAAGTTTCAGATACTGAAACTAGATGTCGCTGTATTACTATTACATCGCGCTATGATTTGACATGCAGTGGCGTATATACACAATTCAGAATATAATTGTGTTACTCTGGTTTCCCTTCAAAACGTACAAATCTTTCGCCTTTTACTAAAGATTTCCGTGGAGGGGAACACTCAAATGAGTCTTACTCTATTTTTGACGCCCTGCGTCCGCAGGGCAAATGATTCATTATTCATTATAACTCTATCGTAGAGCTTGACCGAGCTTATTAGGATATTAGGTAAAATCCTGTATCTATCATAATCATATTTACCTTGACTTGACAATGACAGTGACACAAACTGGTACAAAATAACACCTGTCACTATACTTTATAGTTAAAAAATATTATATGCTATTCATGACTATATAAGTGTAGTGTAGAAGTAGGGAAACTGTTGGTAGAAAGCTTAGTACTTTCTAGACTTAACTTAACTGTGATACATTGTATGGCCCATGTCTACTATCGAGGACAGAACAGTTAATACAACGTATACAAAATGCTTGTCTGCGCTATTGTTATCAAATTCCTAGGAGAAGCCATATTACCACATATTTAAATAACAACAAGATGACAGCAAGAGCAAAATTACACCTATCTTGTTTATTATTTGGAGTTATTGCCACAAAAAACCTAAATACCTATATGACAAATTAGAGCGGAGGCAACACAGCAAAATATTTTTTCACTCTTCCACCAGTCCTTGTTACTAGCAAAGCACAGAGCAGCCGCATTTAAGGGCTGTTTCAAGTATGCCTCTACCCAATGTTGGAACAACATCCCACCACCCATCAGAAACCTGAAAACAGTAACATAATTTCATCATAAAAAAACTTCTATTAGAACAGCAAAAGAATGATCCCGCTTATTGTTCACACTTTTAAAGTGACATTCAATTTTCTTTTTCTATTTTCAGTTTATTATTGGTAACATATATTATATATACGTATTCATTTTTCAATTATGGGGTTTATATTTTTATTATAATTCAATTATGGGGGGATATTCATTTGTTTTCTCGTCTGGTTGGGTTTATAGATAAAAAATAAAGATATAGATATATATTGCATATCTAAAGTAAATATTATATTTAATATTAATTCAATTATATTATTAATTTCCTAGTTTATAGAAAATATAGTAATTTTATTGCTTTAAATATTCTTTTGGTATTTTTTTCAATATATTGTATTGGGAGATAAATTACCTACATGGTGTGTCCCATGAGCAAGGCGTACTTGGGAGTCCATTCATACTTGACTTGGTGCCTGTTGCCATGCCATTCCGATGTTCTTAGGATGTTTATCTCAGTGAAGTGTCCATTAGCCATCTTTATAGGTTACCAGCAACGCCATGTGGTTTTTTATTAGATTTAGCCCTTGATTGTTTATACATACTAGCAAATAGTTGTCTAATAATAATGATGATGCATGTCCATACTGCGTGAAGATTGAAAATTGTTCCTGATTTGAATTATTTGACATATTATAAGTGAATGTGACAGATGATATAGAACGTATGATACGGAAAGAGATAGCAGTCTATGGAATTGCAATCTAGTTACACCAATTGAGCAGTGCTGGCTCAGTGTCCAGGCGCTCGCCTTTAATTCAATACACTCGAGCAACCTGAGTCCGAGACCCTTTGTATATATGATAATGGAACGTAATATTTAGTAAGTAATCGAGAGCTTGACTTATCTCCGTATACGGTACATATATTTTCTTTTTTAGTTATTATTAGTTTTACTTTTTTTGTGTCTGTATATACATCGTATTATACATTTCTTCTTTCTTTCAAAAGACCGCAGATATTTGATTAAATAAAGTACTAAATTTAGTTGGTAAATCTTAATGCCAACCTGTTGATATTTGATATTGTATCGCAAATAACAAGACTATTTTGTTCCATTCATACCAAGTTTCAGATACTGAAACTAGATGTCGCTGTATTGCTATTACATCGCGGTATGGTTTGACTTGCGGCAGCGTATATGGGAAATTCAGAATTAATTTGAATTACTCTGGTTTCCCTTCAAAACGTATAAATCTTTCGCCTTTTACTAAAGATTTCCGTGGAGGGGAACACTCAAATGAGTCTTACTCCATTTTTGACGCCCTACGTCCGTAGGGCAAATGATACGTTTAAACTCTACCGTTAGAACTGGCCGCTCGGTCATATTAGGTAAAATGCAGTATTTGTATCGCCTGTTTCTGTTACTTGACAATGAATGTGGCAAAATCTGGTACAAAATAGCACCTGTTATGTATAAATTTAATAAAAATGTAACTGAACGTATATTTCTTAGCAGTCTATGTAAAGTAAAGTAAAGTAACAGCCTGTACATGTCCCGCAAACTACAAAGGCGTCCTCTATACAGAGGGTATCAGGGCATAGTCCACCACGCGACCCCACTGCGGATTGGCGGACTTCACATACCTTCGAAAAATATTTATTTTTTGTTATTATTTCGAAAATATGCAGGTTTCCTCAAGATGTTTTCCTTCACCGCGGAGCACGTGATAAGTCCAACACTTAAATTTAAAAACTTCATTGGTGCCGGCACCGGGGTCGAACTCAGGTTGCTTGAGTATATTGAATTAAAGGCGAGCGCCCGGACACTGAGCTATCAGTCTATGGGGGGGCCTTTATTCAGCAGTGGACTCAAACAGCTGAAATGATGATGTACTGATCGTTGTGTGTACAATGTTTAGGAAGATATTTGAGAAAAACTGTTATTGGGGCCTTTATCAACGCGGTAGAACCCAAAACAATGATTGTTAAAATTTTTGTCTGTTCGTTTGTGCGCTTGTGCGTTAGTATTAGTTTTATTTTAATCGGTTCATAAATAAAAAACGTTACATCAACTTAAAGACCCAAATTGAATAATGTATTCGAATCAAATTTATATAGAACCATTTCGGATAAACCTTTACGAAAAAAAAAACAAATCCGTCTACATATGACATACATAAAAAAATATGTAAACATCCGAATTGTATATAACCTTCTCCTTTTGAAGTGGGTCAAAAAAAGCTTTAACTTAAACTGTTCTTTTAAGACCGGAACGAGTGCAAGCCACATCGCTTGGACGACGAATACCTGAAGCGGTTCCTGAGGGCGCGCCGCTTCGTGTCCGCCCGGGCGCACGGGCTGGTGGGTCGAGTTACACAGCGTTAGTTATGCGCTCCTGGTAGCTTGTTGTAATGTTAAATTGTTTAGACTTAGGAGAAATTTATGATATCCCGGTAATTTATAACACTTTAAAGTTAACCAAGCCACAAAAATTTCATCCACACCACCTCGATGTCCAGCGTTCCACAACAGCGCGATTTTTAAGGAATTTCTTGCCTCGCACAACAACTCTGTGGAACCAAATGCCGCCGGCGGCCTTTCAGAACCGTCATGACCTGGGAACCTTCAAGAAGAGAGCGTACTCTTTCTTAAAAGGCCGGAACGCATTTGTGAGCCCTCTGGTGTTGCAGGTGTTCATGGGCGGCGGTAATCACTTACCATCAGGTGAGCCTCCTGCTCGTTTGCCCCTTTACTCCATAAAAAAAAAACAAACAATATAATATAATATTTACTTAACTATCTTGCAGTTATCACAGTAAGATCGACTCATGTGACACACGGGCGTAGGCATTTTTTTTCATAAAATCCTTTCGTGTGCGATAAATTAACAAAATATTTAAAAAATGTGTTAATAACACATTATTACATTTAAGCTGTTTTGAGAGGTGGGAAGGGGGGATTAAAACCAGAGGGGGTTTTAATCCCCTGCTAAGCCCATGGCGTGAGACTTTGTGTCCACTAGACAGTATGTCAGATAAAAGTTATTGATTATTTTTCTCATTCCATCTTTTAATACGTTGTTTTGTTATAAAAACATAAAAGTACTTGTAATGTTTATCTTTAAAAGGCGATTTTGCTGTTTAAAAGGCGGCGACTTGTTTCTCGTGTTTATCTTATGTAATGTATAGTTGTACCGTAAGGTATCTCAATACAAAAGTCGTGACTACAATAGTAATAAATACGTCTCGCTAGTAAACGCTAGCTCCTCTCAACCAAAAGATATATTATAAATGAAAGTAATTTTACGGATTTATCGCGTTTATTTTTAATTTTAATTCCCGACGTTTCAAACCCTTTACAGCGTTCATGGTCATGGTCACGGGACGGGGAGTTCCATTTATAATGTGTAATCTCGTTAATACGAGAAAAGATATATTTACTTTCCATTATCTTTAAGATTCCTCTCTTCGGCCTTCTTTACTGAAAACTCCACTCACTATCACAGGATTAATAAAATATAATAAATGAAAAATACGTTTCGTCTACGCTTTAAAACGACCTGATTCATTAACCCTATCTTTGATTACCCGATTGTTTAATGATTTAATAATCGATTAAAAAACTAGCTAGTCTTTTTCTTAATTTGCCAATCGGAACTCTTTATAATGATATGATAAATAAAACTAAGCAAAAGAAAGTAAACTAAGAACAATTTATTATATAAGTAAAATAAGCTTGAGTGAATGCAAAATATCTATTTATAAACTCCTAGTATCACTCACCATCCGATAGGTTATCATTGTGTAATGTCGTTAAATGTAGTATCGCACAATTATCACGTCAAAGGCGTCGGGGTTAAACAAACGTACAAACATCTCGGTAACCGTTCAACACATCGAGAATAAAAACTTTCACAAAAAGGGATCTTTATAAACCTGTTTTCAACGACTATCACCAAGAAATTAATAATCTGTTACACTGCCGGTCACGATTTTGCCCACAAATCGATGGTTGTTTTGCCAAGCGGCACAAAACCCTCATTACCATAAAGACCACGACCCCGATCGGCAATCGAAGAGAAAGCGATCGGCTGGCGAAGACCGAACTCCGTTTACTAGAAAGGGTCGCTTCCCATTGTGGCTTTTTAATTAAGGCAGTCACTGCAGACGATCAGAAATTACCGAATGCGGAATTATGGAAAAAATTGAAAGGCTACTTGAAAAGGAATCTTTATGAGTATGAAGTCCTGGTTTTCATTTAACATATGATAATTTATCAAACTTAAAAAAAAACAGAAATCCGCGGATACTTTTGTCTGTATTAACTGATGTTTTTGCTTTCAGTCCCGAGACTATTAAAGCTTCATCTGACGCAGAACCGGTGGGCTAGCCAGAACCCACGGGTTTGGGCCCTCCGCTGTGGGTAGGGCCGCGCATGTGCTCATGCGTGCGTTTAACTACGACATGTCATCTAAGGGCCATCGAAGTTGCGGTGCGGACCGAGACCCCGATGGCCGTCGACTGTGTTTTTAGCTAATCGGTGGCTGGGGGCGGTGAGAACCGCCCTGGAACGCGGGTGTACCTTGTGTGTCCTCTCGGGACATGGTTGTTTCGGGAGGTACCTGTTTTGCGTGGCGAGGAGGGAGCCCACAGCGGAATGCCACCACTGTGACGTATGTGCCGAGGAGACGGCCCAACACGCACTGGAGGAGTGCTCAGCCTGGACGGAGCAGCGCCGAGAGCTGTACGCTATCGTGGGGCACGACCTCTCGCTACCAGCCGTGGTTCGCGCTATGGTTGACAGCGAGAGGGCGTGGGGTGCTGTCCTCGCATACTGCGAGGACGTTATCACCCGGAAGGAGGCCGCGGAGAGGGAAAGGGAGGCAACTGCCACCCTGGAAATTCGCCGCCGGAGACCAGGGCGCAGGAGGCTGGCCTACGCGCGCAAAAAACCTTCCCCCCTGATGGTGAAACCCTGAGCGGCAGACATGGGAGTGTCTGTCGCTCAATATGGGGCTCGTGACGTGTGCTGTGCCAATTGCACAGGCACAGCACTATGTAGTAGAGGAGGCGTAAAGGGGCCATAGTCGCGCCGGGGTCGCGGAATATTGCGTTCACGTGTTCCCGTGTCCCCGGCTGATGCGACAGAGACAGGTGCAACGTGGGTTTTTTAGTGGGTAACCGTTTTTAACGGGACTCCCACATACCCCTGCCACTTCTCCCATCCAGTGGCAGGGGATCCATAAAGGATTTTTCCCACGAAAAAAAAAAAAAAAAAAAAAGGGTGTACCTTGTGTACGCGTTGTGTTGGTCTCGCCGTGCTCGGAGGCGAGGGCGAACTATGGTGTTTGTTGTTACATTAGCTGTGGGTGTAGTGTTATCCGGCGGGACCCCCGGGGTCCGGCGTATCTAAGTCCCCTTCCTCGACCGGGTCGATGAGGACGTTTCGCGGGCGACGCTTGTTGACGTTCGCGTTTGTGTGTCGGGTTGGTAATTTGCTGCGCTTACCACCAGAGGGTTGGGATGATGTTCGGCTCTATCGAAGAACCGTTTGGTCAGGTCTTTAAAATATTCGCGAATCGTCGGGAGTCTGCAATCGCTGTGCAGATCGACGTTGCGTTGATACCACTGCGCACCGGTTGCACGGCGGATGAACTTATTTTGTACTATTTGCAGCTTGTACAAGCGAGTAGGGTGCGTGTGGGCGAAGATCATGCATGCGAAGGACATAAGATTTTTGACTTCTAGCTGAAGGCGTCGAAGTAGGGTTCGGTTCGATTCCGATCGGTATCGGTCGAAGGCGCGTTTGGCTGCATTTTTCTGTCTAATTAGCAGTCTTAGGTCGGGTGGAAAGTTAAACCGTCGGTCGCCCGACAGTTTCACCGTCCGTTCCGAGTCTGTGACTGCGGAAGTAATAGTTTCGCGGAGACTCGCTATCGCTCGATTTGCTTTATCAAACGTAGCTATCGTCTCGGGTAAGTCTACTAAGTCCTGGGGGTTCGAGGCCTTGAGTTTGACCTCAAGACGATGCCAGTCCACTACGGATTTGGTCGGAGGGACCGCGCCGGCGTTCTGGCCCAGTTTACACAGGACGGGCCTGTGGTCTGAGTCTAGTTCATGGATTGTCTCTATCGACTCGATGTCGAGCGAGACCTCCCTGAATAACATGATGTCTAGGACACTCGGTGACGCGTGTTGGTAGTTGTCCACCGTAGTATACCTAGTGGGAGTCGCGGGAGCGACTATGCTAAAGTTTAAAGTATCGGATAAGCTAAAGAGATGCTTTCCGTTGTTATTTGGGATGCTGTGGATGTCCCATGAACCGTGTTTGCAGTTTAGATCTCCTGCAATTATCACGGAAGGGCCTAAGTTGAGTAGCGTAACTAGGTCGCTTTGTAATAAGGTTTTGTTCCCCGAGAGGTAGGCTGAGACTAGTACAAGCGGCCTGTGGCCGGTGAGCGCTAACCTACACGCGGATGCCTCTATTTGACTTAGCTCTGGAATGTCGAGCGGGCAACAGTGCAAGGACCGTTTATAGTAAATTAATGTGCCTCCCAGACGGTTTGCTAACCGGTCGTGGCGGACAATGTTGTAATTTGCGATTCTGGGATCGCGTACACTAGGTTTTAAGAATGTCTCTTGCACTAGAAAAATATCTACATTATAATCGCGAAGGAATTCTGCGATTTCGTCCCTTTGACCCTTTATGCCGTTTGCGTTGAAATACGAAACAACCAGAGCCCGAGGTTTTGTTCTACCTGCGGTTGTACTTCCCATAAAAGTTTTTATGGTTCTAATTAAGGACGCGGCGGAGCGCGGTTTTAATGCGCGGACTTTTATGTCTTTTTATGGTTGGCTCGTAAAAGCCCATAGGGCTTCTACAAGCGTTATGTGTTGGCTGATTGCTCTAAGGCGCTCGTTGCCAGATGTGGCGGCCACTATTTTAGCGGACAATACGGCGAGTTCCTGCCTATTGATTCGGTCTAATAGGCTGCAGATGTTGGCGATTTGCGCGAACGGGTCGTCCTTGTTTTCGGCGAAAACCGATGAAGTTGGCTGCACCTGCGGCCGCGGCGCCGTTTGACAGGCGGGCAGCGATTGTGCAATCGGTCGTGAAGCGACCGGGGGCGTGATTACCTGCGCGGCCACCTGGGGTTTCGCCCAGGCGTTTGTGACGGGTACGGGCGCGGGAACGTATTTTACGGGCGCGGGTTTGGGCAACGTAGATTTTGCGGGAGATTTTCTCGCGGGAGTTTTCGGGGCCTTAGCGCAGCCTCTATAACTAGTCGGGTGGCCGGTAGCGTGACAGTTTACGCAGTCCGGTGGATCTGCGCAATCTTTTGGCCTCGTGCACTCGGTTGTGCCGTGGTCACCGGTGCATTTGACGCACCTAGGGTGAGCGAAGCAATTATTGGCCGTGTGGCCAAAATGTTGACAGTTGTGGCACTGTGCCACAACACCTGATTTTCGCGGGGGCTCAATGACTAAGTCACTGAGCCCACAGACCCTCTTTAGGTTGAAAATGGCCTTACCTTCCGGGGTAGGGTCAAGTTCCACCATGACCATGTCCATAGGGACACGGGTGCGAGGGCGCCTGAGGCGACGCACGGCGTGAACAGGGTATCCCTGAGTGCGGATGTCGACCTTAGCCCTATCGACATCCGACTCTTTCGGGACGCCCTTGATTACGACCCGAAGTTTACGCTCTTCGGGTAGTGAGTAGGTGTGGAAACCTACCTTAGCTTCGTGCAAGTACTTTGTTACGCGGCGGAAATCGTCCGTAGAATCGAGGTATACGCGGATACCCATATGCGTATTTTTGGACCGGGGGTCTCGTATGTTATGGCGTTCGAACCATGAACATATTTGGTGCCACTTTGCCTTTTCTTGTATGATAATTGGCGGCGGTGGCTTGATTTTTCGCTCGGAGGCGAATGTCGGTTCCGACTGGGCAGTCGCGGCTGCCTTTTTGGCAGGCGTCGCGGTGAGACGGATCGTTGAGGCGGCCTCGCATTCGGGGTCGCTGTCGGTAGTGGGGCGTTTCTTGCACTTTTTACGCGATTTAACGACGGTGAAGCCGTCGGCGTTCGCATTTTCAGCGGGGGTCGTTTCGACCTCCATGTCCGATCCGCCGTCCGATTGTGAGTCGGGTAAGACGGAGCGGAAAGAGGTCGGGTTTGGTTGCACGGAAGGCGCTACGGGCGAGTTCGCGTTAGCGGATGCCGAAGCGACAGGGGCTTCTAAGGTCGCGGAGGGCGACGGGGTAACGGGTGCAGACGGCGCGGGCAATGGCGGCGATGCGAGTTCAGCTACTTGCCTATGCTCGGCTGCATAGGCAAGATAACGTTCCCACATAGCGGGGCATTCTCTGCGAACGAACTCCTCGAAAAGGGAGCCCATCGCGACGTAAGTACCTTTGGGGCTTGTAGCCCCGCCGGCGTGTGTGAGCTAAATAAGCCTCCCCACCTTGCGGCAGGGAGGAGTGTGCCTAAAAATAACAACTAATTTGCCTGCGCTTAAGGTGCGCTAGGGTGGGTATCTAGCTGTCGCCTATTGCAACAAGCACACAGTTAATAAATGAAACAATGCCACCTCTGAGGCGAGAAGTGTGTGTAGGATTCTACTTACAAAACAGGAACCTGCCTACGAGCACAACACTACACTAACACTAAACTACTGCACTATTTGCACAAGATATAAATTGCAACCGAGGTTGCGAGTGGCGTCTAATTCGGGTGGCATGTGCCCGCCGTCTTAGAGAGACGTCCGTTCCGTACGAGAGCACGAAGCGGAATGTCCGCGGATACGTGAAGTCTATCCGTCATTATATTGCTGACTACTGCCAAATGCTTTCTTTACAGAAGAGGCCTTTGCCGAGCAACGGTACATTTATGGTTTTACAGTTTACTGTATTACTTCCCTACCATCATGATAATTGAGCAGCAGGAAATTTATGGGCTATTAGTAGTTACTGTATTAACATTCTCCTCATGGGCCAAATGCATTTCCTCGCTGGATTGAAATAAACAACCTTTGAACGAGAAAACAACCGAAATTTCTATATATAAATAAATATAAATATAGAGTTTTAAAAGTTTGCCTACTCGTTCCAATTAGTACTATATATTGAGTAAAACATTATTTTTTGTCTTGTTATTTATGTTTTTTTTTTTATTTAATCGAATACGCAGAGTAGTGCTAACTATCTATATTTGTGTAACTGGTGGTTTCCAGTACGCGTTCCAGTTGCACCAGTGGGGCCTCCACGTTTTCAACTGCTCCAGAATTTTCGAGGCCCTGTTCCACCTCTTCAAACGCTTAGCGCCCAGCGACGAACTCTGGCGGAAAGTTACCGTCTCCCATGGACTTCCACAATACCTGGTTGATTGCAATCTGTTGCCAACCTTTAAAATTCATTGGGTCTGCGACACTCACCATCAGACGAATCGCGAAAGTGTAGTACCTCGTCTTGTGAGGCCGTGGTAGCTCCGGATGAGCCTGCCCATTCGTGCAAGAGTAACAGATGCTGCGTGACTCCACCGTTAAAAGAAGTCCGCAGAACCCATGGAGCAGCGATTCCCACGAGTTTGATAGACGTTACGCTAGTAGGATCTTGTAGGCGTTTGCATTAGTAATTATAGGATTGTTGGCTATGTGCACTCGTAGGCGAGGCCGACCGAGGATATTGTATGTAGCATCATACCTAGACTAACATTTCCGGGCGGGACTTCAGAGCGATCATCAATACTTTAATTGTACTGTAAACTTATCTAATTAAAGAAAAATAATAAGATAACAATAGCGCATAGTTCCTTGCCGGTTCTTCTCCGGATAGGTCTAGTTCAGTGAACCGGTGATAGTTTTATGACGTTCAATAGGAGCTTTAAATCAGCCTACATTGAATAAAGAAATTTCGACTTTGACTTTGAATAGCCTATCAAATAATTTGTGCAGGTTCATCGACCCGGAGTGCCTTCCTGCAAGGTACGGCGGCCACAGACGGCCGGTGTCGCTGGGCGAATGGCTGACGAAGATCAGGGGCTACAGGGATCGTCAGTTCGACGAGGACATGGCGAGCTTGGGATACGCCGTCGACTAGGAAGTTAGTTCAAATAAAACGCATGAGAATGTATTGATGTCTTTATTGCTGCTGCACAGGAGGCGCATGAAGGATAGAGGACACTAACACCCGGTTTCTGAAACACCGATCATCGTAGAAGTCAACTAATCAGCTGTCAAATGTCATTTGAGTTGCCAAAGGGATGATTAAACTCTTTGAATGTATCGTTCTGATCAATAAGAAGCTCATTCTGACCAACTCAGAGTTAATTTCTACGGTGATGAGAAACCGGGCGTCAGTGTTTCAGAAAGCGGGCATGGGACGTTTATTATTAACTATAGATGCTCTTAAAATATGTAGAAAAAGTGCGAAAAGAATGTCGCCGCTGTGGGAATCGAACGGCCGGACAATCTTTTCGCACTTTTTCTACATATTTTAATGTTCAATCTTAAGTGCAAATATTAGCACTATAAACATTTTCTATAGATGCTCTGTTTTAGTAACACTAAAACAGAGCATCTACACTCCCAAGGTCCACTTGTCAATTCTTGCTATGAAATATATTTATTCAATACAGGAGCATTACACTTACTTATTGATTGTCAAAACGCTACCACCGCCGGTTCGGAAAATGAAAGCCTGACTGAAACTGACCTGAGATGAAGCGGCAAAATACCTCAAGCAGAACTGGCGAAAGAAACTTAGAAATCAGCTAAAATGGCTACAAAATCTGAAAAACGGTTGATCTTGCAGTCCATAAAAACGCTTCCATAAAAAAAATTTACGTGCATAATAAAAAAGTTTAAATGTATTACGCACATACGACGCGACAAAATAGCCATTTTTTTGTCTGTAAGATAGCAAACTTGTTTCGTTTAACTGCACAGTTCATATTTGAGTTAAGAGATATTCAAAATAACACATTTTTGTTTGTATTTCATAACTTACTATTTTATAATAAATCATTAGTTCATATATTTACAATAGACGATATTTCGAAATATTTCAAAGGATTTTACATTTCCATAAATTAATTAACGCTGCTTAAGTAATGGCAAGAAATCAGGAAATTAAAAAGAAATTTAAATGTAGTAAAGAAGACATAGAATTAAGTGTATTTTTGCACATTATAACGTTACTGAAAAGAGTACAATTCAAATTCAAACATAATTGGTTGAACTAAGTAACTTAGTTACCCACAATATCTTAATTGAATAATAACGAAACCTCTGCCCTTCGAATTACTCTGCGGCGAATGTCGCTTAGGCTCTCGCCCTGCTTTATTTTAATTTATACCGCAATCAGCCGTTCACAGAAATACGCGCCTCTGCACCGCCATGCAACAGAACTAGCGTTCGATTTTTAATTCCGAAAAATAAAATGTAAAAGTGATAATAAAAGTGTACGAACAAACAGACATTTTTCATTTTCATTCAAAGAACCATTTGAATGACTAGACTACTCTGAATTTTGAACGGATATTTAAATTAAGAACGCATTTATTACGGACACGTGAAGCTCGCAAGTGTAAAGAATAAAGTGCCTTATTGTGTTGTGCTGAAAATAGATTTTACATTGTGTATATTCATTACAAACATTTTTACATCGACCGTTTGTGTACAATCCAGGAAGTTTTGTCGTTCCCGCCAATTTGTCATCGCTATCTCAGGTGATTGACCTTACGCGCATCGCCCTGTGTTATTATTCGCATAACATTTGCTAGAGTATCAGTTTTTATACACAGCGCGTGTGAAAGAAGCATTTTTTATAAGATTAAATTAGTGTTCCGACTTCATTAAGCGACACTTAGACGCATTTGAATTCAATTCAGAATGCATAGGGCTTGAACGTTGAATCAAGACATAATACGTTTTATCTTGAAAAAAATACCTACTTATGTTATGACAAAAACTAAACTAATTATATATGCTTATAAATGTACATACATGAACGAAAAAATATATTTTTCCGTCGAATGAAAATGGAAATAAATTCACTCCTACAATTAATTCTATAATTTTGCTGTTCACTCGGTACAGAACATAGAACTCAATTTAAATTTGTCATCGTGTATCTCTGTTCAAATTTTGGAAAAACAAAAGCATTAGTCATTTCAATGTCGTCTAAGTCATCAATAAAAAAAGCCGTTACAACTCCCCCAATTGAATATTGTTGTAAATCATAGAAACTTAATTTATTTATATCAAACACGATTTACAATATTATCAACAAATTTATATGACAAACAATGTGGAGCGGTGGCAAGACATTTCCTTGAAGGTATAGTTTACTAAAACTTTGGCGAATAAACGCGTCACATATCGCAACAATGAGACAAGGTTGAAATTCTTTTGAAACTTCTACTCAATCCTAACATTTTAACACTATCTCTACCTTTACATTGTTAGGACAACTATACGCCTAGGACGGACATTTAGGTCAATTATAAGCCATTTTCATTTATAAATTATTGTATTGAACTCATAACCAAGTGTTAGAAACGCGCGAAATTTACTAAAATTTAGTAGGTATATATTGGAACTTCGTAAGTATATTCTTTCGAAATACCATTATATACTTGAAGTTCTTAATTTTGTCAGGATTCTTGTAATTTCTGTCTAAATATTGCTGTCTCATTGGGCTGACTTACTTGAAGACAAGGGAGACCTTGAAAAGAACCTTCTCACTTTATAATGCAATCAAGGCATTTGCCATTCTCGTGTTTCGACGATCAAATGCAAAGACAGAATTTTTATTCCGATTCAAACACTTGATTTGGGACGATAAAACTATTTCGGTTCGTCTTTTATTTCGTGTGAAAGCTATGGCCAACCAAAAATCGTCTATTAGCCGTTGTTACACAGCGAAAGCGACCCACTTTTGGCTCTAGAATATTCGGCCATCTATTTCTTTACGATCTTAGTAACTATAACGATAATAGTGAAGAAATCATGCCTATTTTTTGCAACAAAAATAGATATAATTGTTACAATATTTTTTTGCTTTCAAATAATACTAGCAGTTGTTGAGATAGATAAAATATTTTGCATAAATTTCGGAAGAGAAAAACTTAATGGCTGTATTTTTCTTATATCAAAAAAAATGGTACGATAACAGAATGCGACAAATATTATTGTGTTTCACGATCATTTAAGTATTAAATTGAACATGTAAATATCAAAAACCAACCCATGTTGGTTATCCATAGTAATAAAAATTGCAAGTTCATTAACTAATTTCATTTCGTTATATATTATAGAAAAATCGTTCACATTCACTACATTTGATTTGATGTGTGATAGCGTACCAACGCCTTGCGAGATATGAGGCCCTGGTAGATCTGCTCCTAATGCCTAGGAGAGACCTAACATTTGAGGTTAGCCTAGCCAGACCTAGGTTTTAATTTAAACACATTCATACGTTTTCTACTGTAACTAAATCATTAGGATATGTCAATTTCCACATCCAGGTGTTAACTTTGGTTCTTAACAAAGTACTTGATATAACAGATTCTAATTTATCGTAATTTCTATAGAACTATATTTTCATTTTACAAACATTCTTAAACGGTTTTTTTTTGTCGGGAAGCTAGGTACAGCTTATACCATAATTCTTAATTAAATTTAATTAAATTTACTAATTTATTAATTATTAATTAATTAATTAATTCTTAATTAAATTTACTAATTCACACAATATTTTAAAGCTTATATTTGCCGCTAATGAACAATAAAATAAAAGTAGAATAATGTTTTGGTTTTCAAAACAAAAACTTTTGTTGTAAATTTGTTTAAATAAAATATAAACGAAGTACACTAAAAAAACGTTATTCTTCAAAATAACATACCTTTAATTGATACTTATTACATATTATTATATCACTATTCGGTGACAAACTGACAAGATATACAGATAGATAGATCTGAACAAGACTGATATTAAATAATTTACTCTAAAAGTATTAGTTATGGTTTAAATATCGTGTATAGGTAAGTAGGTAAATTTTATAAAATCATTACGTTTATTCAGTTTTCGTTATAGTTATAAGTTATATAGCTCATAAGCCTCAACCACGTACCAACACACTAAGATTTAATCTAGAAAGGCACAAAGTGTGCTAAATACAGACAACACCAAAACTAAGACAGCTTTATAATAAAAATAATACAATTTGAAAGTTTTAATTTTTCGAAAGTTACTTATCTTTTAAGAGCACTAAAGTATTTTGAACAAAATGATGATCTGTTGATATAATTTTAAATAGCGGCCATTTCCAATCTGTCTATGCGTGTAAGGTATGCGAGGTGAACGCACTGTCATAGGAATATTACCGACCGCTTGCGACAACATGGCGCAAGCGAAAAATACACGATTTAAAATGACGGCTGCACTTATATAAAGCTAATTTATGATAATATACTAAGCATTTCTGTACTCCTGGTAAAAAGATTACATAATATAAATAATTATATAGGTAGGATATAATTAATCCTCCACTAAGCAATTTGTTATTAGCGCGACGTGGGTGTTTTTATTTCGGTATTTTTTAATCAAATCCTTTGCAAATAATTTAAAAAGTCATTTTTATTGCTTGTATACATTGTATTACGAAAAAACAAGGATGTTTTAATCTTCATAGTACTTCACTTTCTGTCGATCATCTATGAGGCGAAGATACGAGCTTCATACTGAACACAAATATGTCGTCGGTGACATTTTCACGTAAGCGATTCAAAAATGTAATAGGTACTCGACTGTGGTAGTAATCACAAAATAGATTACCCGTAACCTATGATAAACAGAAATAGAAAATAAAGTGTAGTATAAAACCAAGCATCAGCTTCTGTATCTATGGAACGGGCCGCGTAGCAAGGTATACATACGGTCTCAAATATTATATCTGACATAAAGTTGAAGTAACAAAATTTTGCATTTCGTCTGATCAGTGAGAAAGCCGGGGTCCCCTTAACTATAATGTGGCAACGCATCTGCAACCCTATGGGTGTTGGAAATATCCATGGGTGGCGGTATTCATTTACCATGTGAGCCATCAGCTCGAGCTTCTCACATAAAAAAACATAGATACAACATGGGGACTGCAGACAAAAGTGAAAACATAAAACAATATCAAAATTGTATGTATGTTTGTTCACCTAAAAAAGCTCAACGCGCCCAGAGAAGTTTTCACTTCAAAAAAAGATCGAAAAAGCAAAGGGTGTTTGTCAAAAATCTCAGGGTGTTTAGGCCACTAGACGCCGGTAATCTCTTTACACCGGGCATGTATATTTTTTCACCCATCGAATCCGTAATTATTCCCGAATTCCTTCAATGGAACGTCAGTGTGACAAATCCCGCTAACACAAAGCTTTCTCCTACACCGCCATCGCTTTTTACGGCTTAACAAACACTCGTTGACGATGGAGCCGCAAATGCATTTGTTTTCTAAGCGTCCGTTACAAGTTGCTTTCTCTCGAGCAAGAAACCGATCGGTCATTTCACGACGCAATTAGCAAGCGAAACTCTTTTTGGCTCATCGTTCCACAGCAGACAAACGAAAGCTGCGAACATGTTGTTAGACACGTTTAGACACCGTAGCGATACATGTAAACCAAGGTTTTACAACGGACCAAAAAGGGCTTTAGGAGTCATAACGCTAAGTTCACGCTGCAACTTTAGTGAAATGATCAATAAGAAACAGATAATACGTGGGTCATAATGAAAGTTCTTAGAACAACGAGACGTCTACATTCCTTTCTATACATAATATTTACATTCGATGGAACCACTGAGAAAATCATTAAATGATTTTCTTCTTCTGTCTGATTCCTATATATATGCAGCTTTGACCGCCTGTGACGTTGGGATTAGAGTCACCTCCGTTAAAATTTTCTAACACTTCATGACACCATACCATACGAAGACGTTTGTGGTTTTCGGTTCAAGTATGGAGAACCCATTTGGTACAAAGCTTCCTCTCGCCTAAATGGTCATGTAAAGTTTTTTGTACCAAAAGCTTAAACTTGCCCAAATCTGCTGGTAGGTCATACACTTATCTTCCTCATGCCTCGCACATCACAGATGTTATATTCAGATGTTCCTGTTGAAGGACGTCCCTTACGCAGATCATCACTGAGATTGCCATGCCCACGCTTAAACTCTTTAAACCAATTGTAAACAGTGGCACGGGATGGGGCTACATTATTAAGTGCCAATCGAAGTCTATCATCGCTTTGTTGTTGTGTAACGGCCGGTTTCAATATGCTATCTGTAGATTTGCTTACTAGCGATAGGTAAAAAAAAAGTAAAGTAACAGCCTATACATGTTCCACTGCTGGGCAAAGGCCTCCTCTATACAGAGGGTATCAGGGCATAGTCCACCACGCGGCCCCACTGCGGATTGGCGGACTTCACATATCTTCGAAAGATATTTTTTTTTGTTATTATTTCGAAAATATGCAGGTTTCCTCACGATGTTTTCCTTCACCGCGGAGCACGTGATAAGTCAGCACTTAAAGTTAAAAACTTCATTGGTGCCGGCACCGGGGATCGAACTCAGGTTGCTCGAGTATATTGAATTAAAGGCGAGCGCCCGGACACTGGGCTATCACGGCTCTTAACTTAACTCTTAACTCTTTAGGTATTTAACATTAACTCCATAATATTTACGTAAAAATTATATCTCCAGTATACTAATTTACAGATAGATGCAATATTGAAATCGGTCTTTAGACCACGACAAAGGTCGTAATAAATCATAGACCGAACTCGCTTAAATTCATTTTGAGGTGTAACAAGACTTTTGGAATCGCCGCCAATTCACAAAAATAAGTGGCTTATTAAAACAAGTTAAGTGAGGTATAAACAAATTTCAACTAGAAAATTGAACATATAAGAAAGCCCAGTGAAATGAAAAACTTATAGTCTACTTGTTCCAGTAGACGATGCCGTTCATCGATATAGCCTTCCAAGCGGAGATCAGCAGGTACGAGGATGCAGATTTCGAGGAGATCGCGAGGAGGAATTGCAACGAGGAGCCACGGCGGAGGAGCCACGCGATCCAGGAGCTGAGAAACATGGTGTACGGTGAGCTATTGTCAAACTCTGCGCAGATGACACCATGCCGGTCATACTCTAACTCCCGGTTGTTGAAACACTGATTATCGTAGATGTCAACTAATCAGCTGTGAAATGGCTTTTCAAATTTCTTTTTAGTTACCCGTGGCCCTACCCCCACAATTTGGGAATTGTAAGTCTTAAATCTACAATTTCACTTTTTAAAATGTACAATGTTAATGATTTAATATGTTATTATCTTTAGAGAGGGGCGAATGTCATCCGAGGCGAATGGATGACGCATATTTACTTCGATTCCTAAGATGCCGTCGCTTCATACCGGCGTTAGCGCACAAACTGGTACGTTAATTTTAATACATAACTTTGGTTTTACTTTGGTTTATTATAATAATATTCAGTAGACGGTAAACGTTTTTTTTTTTATTTCAATGAATATATTTCAATCTCTTAATATGCTTTTATTAACAGATTGAAATATATTCTTTCAATATTAACATTAATGTGTTTTATAATTAAAAACAGTAGAACTGACTATAAACTGAGTTTTTGAGTCTACAGTGCGATTGCATTTGACTAGCTATGTGAAACTGGGGCAAGCTGTACCTAGCTACACTAGTAGTAATTGTGTGGGATTTGGTTGTTTATTCCCTACGAGGGGTTATGGTCAGGCGGTCGTAAAAATTCTAGGTAATACCACTAATCATATGTTGACCGCGCCTAGGTAGAATAAAGGATAAAGATGATAATGATGATGGTATTTATTGTGACGACAAGAAAATGACCAGATCAACACAGAATAAATACATAGTTCAATAAAGAAACATCCAATTTTTTTTAATGTGAAAACTTGCCAAGCGAGCAGACGGTGCACCTGATGTTAAGTAAATACTGCCGCCCATGGACATCCCCTACACCCAAGGGTTGCAGATGCGTTAACAATCGTTTGAAAATTGGGCTCCGGCTACCTCACTCACCAGACGAAACGCGAAAGTATTATACTTCCACTTTACACCCGTCTTCTGTGAGGTCGTGATACTTACCCGGACGAATCTGCCAATTCGTGCAACAGCCGAAGCTGCTGCGTGGAAAAGAAAAGATGGTTAGCTTCTACCATAGATTTGAAATACCATTATTAATGGAAATCCAGACCGGTGCATAACAGCACTGCAGGACTTCATGATACTGTAAGCATTTGAATTCACGGATCACAATAATATTTATTTTTAAAGCTGAAGGTTGCATGAGGTGACTCCAGAACGCCTAACTAAATTAAACCTATCACCATGAATATTGTAAAGTATTCGAAACGTTAGGTATTTTAAAATATAATCTTATAATAGTTAGTTTCTTCTGATAACAATCAGTTTCTTCATAGCATTTTCTTATCCATTATAATATAACCAACCAATTACATAATAACCACTATTAATAGAACAAAAAGTAAATTTAAGATAAACAAAAAGAATATTAAAAGAAATCGCAAAAAAAAAATAAAATAAAAAAAAATTCGCACGGACTTTATATTTTCGGTACCAGGAGACCATAAATTGTAAAGCAACGCGTTCCGGCCGGCTACTCATTACAAATGCCTTGACATAGAAACGAACCTTTCGAATTCGCGAGAGATCGAATTGGATTCGGACATTGAACCATGAATTCTGTTTGATACAAAACTGTCACAACATTTTTTATTCACCGCTATTTATTGTTCATGCAACAGAAAGGAAGAACAATTTAGATATAAGTGCAATTATTTAAAAAAAAACTGCTCGAAATAAAATTTCAAAATTTAAAGTAAAGTAACTGAACGCGACAACTTTTTTTTAAAAGGTGAAGAGCTGTAACTGAACATACATAAAAGTACAAGGAGGTTTGGTATATATTCACAATAATAATATAATAACGAAACAACGCGAATTTTGTGAGTGTATGACTGTATGTAAGTATTTGTAGTATGTTCTGCACCCACTGCCCCTATTTGAAAAATTCTGTCGCCAAATAATCAGCGCTAGACCCCGAACTCATTTCATTTCCTGATGTAGGACCTCCGATAGGTCTAAAACTAGTCGGAACCCACACCGATTGGACGTGAGCTTGGCCGTTTTAATTATTTTATTACCGTTAAGTTTATGGAATATTATAACATACAATACATATATTAATTTATTCCCTTATCTTAACTGTACCATGTATTCATCATATACATGAAAACAACATTTTTAGTAGCAAGCACTATGTCTATTGGAAAAGTTGACTACAAAACTGAATTGAACCTGGTCATTTACTTCATGACTATTGTATTTTCATGTATATATGATAGTAATAATAATATGATTTATTGTACACCAAAAAAGAAAAAATAAGCAAAATATTTATCAATTTTTTGTCATCAAAAGGTGACCTTTATTGCTACATAGCAATTTCTTCCAGGCAACCTCAGAAATTTAACCAAAAGGAATTGTTATTGGGTGAATACCTACATGACAAGATATTCAACGCGGCTCGATAGACCGTTAATAACAAGTTACTTATGCAGTTAACTTGACCCTTCTCTTAATAAGAATGAAACAGTCAAGTTACCGCTTAAGACGCTCTCAAAGTGTCTAAACTTTTCATCTCAGTATACCCATATGTTCTTAACGTTTTCTCTCTTTTATTTCCACTAGCTGTTTTCTGTCCTAGAAATGGGTATGAGAAAAATTTCTCTACACCAATTGTATGAATTTAATACAAAACCAATTGCGCTTTTTCAAAATGTTCACAATTAAGTAGCATCTCATATGTTTTTTTAAATGTGCGGACGTGGCATACGTGCTCGCGTTTCACTTGATATTAAGTGATGCGCGGTTGCAGATGCTTTTCCACCTCTTAATAAATTGAGTCCCGACTACCTACCCTCTAAATACTAGAAATAAGGACAAACTAACTACGCCATTGTTTCGCCTACAAAAAGTAAACAGGTCGTACATGGCAAAGTGTGCGCATGTATAATAAAATCCCACAGTCGATATTAAGCCTACCACTTAATGAATTTAAACGAAAAATTAAAAGTAAACTTATGGCTAAAGCCTATTATACTATTGCCGAATATCTTGACGACGCCAATGTGTGGGGTTAATACTGTTGATGCTCACGTAGGCTAAAACAAGACTATTGTACCTGTACTATTATATTGTAAACTGATTTTTTTAAAAAAAGAGCAACTGTAAAGTTTCTTGCCGGTTTCTTCTCAACAGAAACTGCTTTCCGAACCGGTGGTAACTTACGAACGTGTTAATTTCTCTGTTAAGTAAAATTTTGACGTTTCATAAGAACGCGCAAGCGTCTATGTGAATAAAGACATTTTATTATTATTATTTGGGGATATTTATTTGTTTTCTCGTCTGGTTGGGTTATCTGGTTGGTCTTATTATTATTATTACCTCACTCACCACACGATACGCAGAAGTATGACACTACCACTTCACGCCGGTCTTCTGTGAGGCGTGGTACTTACCCGGACGGACCTAACCATTCGTGCAACACAGAAGACTGTTGCGTGGCCCTACCACAGCACCACTATCTCATGTTCTCGCTCAATTTAACTGAATACTGAAAAGGCTGTGATAGTGTCGAGGCTGGAGCTTGGAACTCAGTGGCCCTACCATATTGTCTGGTCCTATCTCATATGTTCTCGATCAATTTAATTGAATACTAAAAAGGCTGACACTTGAACTGACTCTTTTAAGCTGCCTCTCTTTCCTAGATGGTCCGTTACGAAGAGTTTCGCAGGAAGAACGCATATCTGTACGACTGCAGTGCCTTCGGGCTGCAGAAGGTGAAACACGTGTATGGTGGCACGTTCCCAGAGAGCCCAGTCCACGGACGCATCACGCTGATGAGATTTGGTGAGACTAACTTATTGCGCATTTCTATCTCCTGTCTTTATCTCACTTTTGTGTTCGACCGCCTGACGTCAACCCTACTCGGTAACAAACACCCAGATCCGGAAATGCTAAATTTGGGTCGCACAAACACTTGTTCCGGGTTGGAATCGAACACATGACCCGCCTAAGCAAATAGCTTAGCAGCTGTGCAGCACCGAATCATCTTTCATCGACTTTCTTAACTCACGTTTTTTTTTACTGCACGGATGGTGCAGTAAAATAAATGGTTTTGCAAACTGCTGTTTTGCATTATGTGGTGGATTCTATCCCCATACGGTGAAAGAATGTTTGTCCAGCCTCCCGCGTCACCGGAGCAACTTTTTAGTGCACAGTCACTTGTTGCCGTATAATTATAATAAAGATGAAATTGTTTATTCCATTTTTATGTCGAATACATATCTATCTCCTTTCTATTTACCAAGTTAAACTGTACAGTTTCAATGAAAACGTGAAATTACTAGAAGTTCGACAATTTCATGGAATTTGTAGCGTTTAGTTTATAATTGTGTAGTTTTTAACGTCATCGTGCCCTGTCAGCCTCTCGACTGGGGAAACAAATGGTACGCCGAGTTAAAAGCAACCTCACAATCCATTCTACTTATGTAATTAACCGTAAAACATTGCCAACAGTGTTTCTATTTCACGCGCCTACTAATAAATCAACAATGTCTACATTCTATAGCTACGTTCAGAAAGGCTTAAGTGACAGACGTCACTTTTTCGACTAAGGCCTTTAAACAAAAAGTATAAGAGCACAAAGAAATGAAAGCATAAGTGGTGAAAGTCTTCCATATGGCGCTGTGGAAGCGGAGCCAGTTTCTCAATAGGAGTTCCCTCACGATTCTTCCCTTCATCGCTGATCAGGTAACTAGCTGCACCGAGGCAACGCATTAAAAAAGCAATCTTGATACTTGACGAAACGATTGGCGTAGCGGTGAACCTGCCACTTACGCCAGAGTGTGTGGGTTCGATCCTCACTACTGGAAATGTGCATAGTGCTATTCCAATATCTTGGCGGTTATGTATGTATAATACGTATTTATTTACAAAAGAAAGGGATGTGTGTCAGTTATCTAGTACCCGTAATGGAAGCGTTGCCTTAGTTTGGGGCTAGAGAACAAATTTTCGTCCCAAATCCTCAGGTAAATGGGACACGGACGCGGTGCCCATAGTGGACGTGGTGCGTTGCGCCCTCATCATGGACGAGGTAGCGGTTCTGCAGCCGAAGCTCCAGATCCTGGGCGTCACGATCATCGTGGACCTCGAGGGGCTGAGCATGCGCCAGGTCAGCCACCTGACGCCGACAATAGCGGGGCAAATCGTCAGCCTGATGGGGGTAAGTGATAAAGAATTTGTGCCTTACAATTTCTTGTATTCCCGCAATTACACATCATAAATGAAACGTTACCTGCAAAGTTGAAACGGTATAAAATATTGACCTACGGATTTATAGCCTTGAGTTTTTATTTTAATCCTCGGACCATTCGATCCGGCACACGGTCAGCGTTGATATATCGAATCATTGTGTGAGACAAGCGACCCCCCCCCCCCCCCCCCCCCTTCGCACGAGTGCAATGTTTTATACATATAAACCTTCCTCTTGAATCACTCTATCTAGTTGAAAAAAACCGCAGATCCGTTGTGTAGTTTTAAAGATATAAGCATACATAGGGACAGGCAGACAGCGGGGCGACTGTTTTATACTATGTAGTGATAGTGAAGAAGTGGCAAACGAGCTGGCTGGCGTTTCAACCGATGGTAAATGACACCCGCCTCTCTTGGACATTTGCAACACACGTAGGCTTTTGCAGATACGTTGCCGCCTTTTAATGGTCTGCCCCGGCTACCTCACTCACCGGACGAAACTCAGAAGTATAACACTTCCACATAACGCCGGTCTTTGTGAGGTCGCGCTACTACCCGGACGGACCTGCCCATTCGTAACAAAGTAACAGTCTATACATGTCCCACTGCTGGGCAAAGGCCTCCTCTCATTTCATCAGCCCATTCGTGCGACAGCCAAACTGGACCTACTCCGAGCTGACTATCAAAAACTACTCCCAGGTCTCGTTCCCGCTTCTGATGCACGGCCTGCACATAATCAACTACAACTGGTTCCTGCACACGTTCTTCTACGTTTTCAAGCAGTTCATACCGCGGGCCGCCTGGGAAAGGATCCACTTTCACGGCTACGACATGTCCTCCCTCCACAAGCACATCGACCCCGCCCACCTGCCCCCAGAGTATGGGGGCACCTGTCAACATGTCATATCCACCGAGGAGTGGCTGAGGAAGGTCAACTTGTACAAAGACGACTTCATGGTTCAAGAGCTGAGGGATCTGGGTTTCACAGTGGATTAAGGTCGAAACAAGTGGAATGTAATTTGAAAAACTAAAATACCCGACTGCGTTTCTGTGTAATTCTTTATATTGATACAGTGTCACTCTCACAGTAAATACGAATCTAACGACACATCTCAGTATAAAATCCATCAAGCCGTTTAGGCTGCAGAGCGTGCCAAACAATTATACATTCATGCATACTCTCGAAAAACATAACCATCCTTCTGGCGCAGTCGGGTAATAAGGTTATTATACGTAAGCCTAATAGCTCAATTGCCGCTAGTTTTCAATTTAACACTCGAGCAAACAGTTCAGCAGCCCTACTCCCGACAGATTCGAGTTCTGAATCAATCGAGTTTGACTCGAATTCATGACAGTTCGTACCACCTAATCTGACGCGAGCGCACAATCGAGCGGTGGCTCTAATTGGAACTAAGATCGAATAATTTTTCGCAAAAAAAATTAAGCAATTAACATTTTATCTAAAAAAAGATGTTATATCCGTTAACATGGAACATTTGTCTGTGGCATAATAGGCCGGATACAGTTAAAGGATTTGATAACGCACGATCTTGTTTCTAGTTTCGATTCGGTACGGGAGTAAGCTTTTCAAATCGAGTTCGAATCGAAAACAAAAACAAATTCGAATCGAATTTGGGGAGTAAGGCGGCGGTACTGATCCCGGTGGCGGCACGAAATTGTTGATTGCATTTTTAAGTGATGCATTTATCACGAGCAGCGGCGTGGCAAAACTTCGTGAGACTGCATTGTTTCGAAATAATAGCAGAGAAATATTACGAAGATAATTATATGAGGGCCTAGTACTGACAAATACAAAGTAGGTCTTGTGGTTATCACGAGCTATATATATAGCGAGGATAGGATAACTACATATTACTATCAACAGAAAATATTACGAAGATAATATAATATTATGATGACTCCGTGGCGCATTTGCCAAGGTATTGGCTACGGCGTCGGGGGTCGTGCGTTCGATTCCCACACGGGACAACTATTTGTGCGACCCACAGATAGTTGTTTCGAATCTGGGTGTTTGTCCATGTGGAATTTATGTTTGTAAAGCGTCCTTACAACACAGGATAATGTTATCCTAAAGTGAGGGCAGTGTTTTTAAAAAAAAACAACAAAAAAAAATTATATGACATCCTAGTACTGTGAAGTACAAAGCAGGTCTTTGACCAACAGTGGAGGATAATGCTATTTTAACTACTAAGTACCATTAAATTAACCTTTTACTATCAAACTAAAAGTTGATATATTTATCCTCATTTAAATTTTAGTAATTATCAAAAAAAAATCCTACCTTAGTACTGAAAGCATTACAAAATCACACTTCTGTATAATTTAGATTACTCGATATTTTTTAACGTAATTAGATTAAATAGGATTTTAAGCTTCTGTGGCAATGTCGGTGGCAGAAATTAAATATCGAATTTCTATTTTATAATTATTCTATGTTACATAATATAAATAATTTATACAAATAAATACCTCAGATTTTAAAATAAAGTTGTTTCATTTACCGATCATTTATGTTGTGTGTTAAACGGTCAAACTTTGTGATATTCAAGTTAAAAAATTATACAATGTAAAAACGTAGAAAATCATGAATACAGTGCTCGGCGATAAATATTGTAGGTACAATCGGCCTTTGGAATATTATGTCTGTGCGTCGTGCGCGCAAATCTCAGAAACGGCTTAACCGATTTGGGTGCAGCTTTGTAAGCTTCATTTAGCGTTAGTTTTATTTAAAACTTCACAAATAAAAAAGTTATATCAACTTAAAGAAAAAAATTAAAAAAATGTGTGCGTATACTAGCGTACACTCGTAAGGAGTGAAACTTTTTTATGACGTTATTTTTCAAAAAATAATGTACTATATGCAACTTTACAGAAATTGGTTAAATAAAGTTAAATTAGATAAAGTTTAATAAAACGCTTTTATTATCATAGACATAAATACAAATTCTACAATTATTTCATTTTAGCTTTGTATAATATTTAGTTTCTTATTTGTAATACATAGGTGGCGTTAGTAGTAAATTAAAACACACTATGGTTTGACCGTTGTAATTAGTATGAGGGTCCGCAAAAATTGTTGATTAAAACCCGCTAATCGTAGGTGCCGCCACCTACAGACCCCCGCCGCTAGGTACGTTCCGCCGCAATCTCACCGTAGACCGCGACACGTTCTCGATTTCCCTGACGATGAGACGACTATCGCCATCGAAAGGATTAAAAAACTTCGCAAACACACCAACACAAACCGCACTCGCCGGCGAGTGCGGCAAACATAGTGGTAGTACTCTCGGGCACCCTCGAAATCGGAATGCTAAACGCGTGCTGAATGACAGCCCAAGCCGAGGTCCCCTCTCGGGGACCCTTGAGCCAGATCACTCCATGGAGCCCCCGCCAAAGCGCCCTAAGAGCTAGGCGGCCTCCCAAACCGGTGAATTAAATAGCGTGACGGCCCGAGCCGAGGTTCCTTCGGGAGCCCTCGAGCTTAGTCACCATAACGCGTAAAAGTAAATACGCGAGGTTCAGGCTAGGTGCCTCGAGCGCCCGGCCACCTCAAGTCCGTCGGATCTGTGAAGGCCCCTAAGGCCAACAGTGGCTCATCCAGCCCAAAAAAAAAAAAAAATTGATTAAAAAACTTGCAACGTGAATCTTTTTTATTTCAATTAACCTCACGGACCCAAAATACAACCGCTTTGAATTTGTACGTGGTCTTTCGTTGCCGAATAGTCAGCCAGTGAGTAGAAGGCAGACATTCGACTCGCGCGCGAGTGTTGTGAGTGAGGTTTTTTTGGAAAACCGAACTTGCGGACGTTCGATCGACGTCGCAACCGCAAGTTCCAGGAGCCGATCGAGGCTTCGAAGAGCATCATCGGTCAGCTTCAGATTGTGTCTTCGGTGGAAGGCGCAGTCAGGTCACGGTGGGCGGTGCCTGCCTTTGGAGAAGAGGAAGTCTCTACAGTGTCGTGCTCTGAAGTATTAGAGCTAGCACTGTCATTACTACAAATATTATTATTGAATTTCATTAATTGTAATAGAATTATTACTATCATTGATGTCGTTATTATACATTTGTGTTATTAATGGCTTATGGTAACTGAAATACGAAATATATTGTTTACATTTTAGAATTAGAATTAAAATAAACCCTTTGATTTTGCTGATCACTTTAATATAAAATATATATATATATATATATATATTGTTATGAACACACGCAGAGGAACTAACGCCATCTAGCGTCAACTATTAAAACCACTAAAGAATAAAGACGACATAAAACCCCCTATTCAACACTAGATGGCGTTAGAGGAACATTTTAAGATAAGAAAAAGATGGCGCGTAACGCAAAAATGTTACACTAAATTTTTTTCCAACCCCGATAAAGAAGTTTCACTTCAATAACTACAGTTGAATTGCCTAAAACTAGAGTAAACTGTTATGGTACTCGTAAATTCAGGCCCGCACTTTAAGAAAATAAACTAACTATGTATTATATATAACTAACTATATAATTATATATAATAAAATAAGGTCACATGCATAGTGATCAAATGCCGAGATGATTGGGCAAAACCTAAACGAAGGGAGTATAATTTTATAAACCAAGTCTTCTTCTTTACGTGTCGATGACAAATCATATCTTTCCAGCCCAGAACTTAGCCACTTCGACAGCACAATTTGTTGCATCCATCAGATCATGCTGCGAACAGGTGAAAGGGCAGGCAGGACAGGACATCAGACGGGCCATGGACTGCACTGCTCCACACACACAGTCCAGGTCTGAGTTTTCTGAGAGTCCCCACCTGAACATATTTTCCTTGCTTCGGCCAACCTGAGTCCGAAGTCTATTTAAAGACTTCCAGGTTGGCCGAGGTAGTCTATGACCAGCCGGAAGACTCTCAGAAAGCGGGACAAAGGGATCCGGAAGTGGTGACCATACTTTTTTCTATGCAGTTCTAACATATCAAAATGGAAAAAGAGCTCGACTTCTGTTCCTACCAAAAATCATCAGAAAATTTAATTTTATACAAATTTGCATTTTCTCCACCAATGGTGCCATGCTGTTTTATTAAACGGTTTTATTTAGCTCGACCCGTACAGAATTTGTTTGGGTCAAAATTAGAAATTGAAATTTAAGCACCTTGCCGTTGTCGGATTGATCTGAAATTTGGTACACACATTTAATTTAGATGACAATACAATATTAACAAAAAAAAATTAACAAAAAAAAACATAAAATAAAACCGTTTAACTTAAAAGTTTTTAAACGGTTTTATTCGTTTTCTGATTTGCAAAAAACAAGTACGATATTTTGATTTTATTATTTCCACTACAGAACGCAGACACTACGACAAAACGCAGAACTCATTACAGATATGTCGATGTGAAATGAAAAATTCAGATAGTAAATTTTATAATCCAATTCAACTCATTTTTTTGTTTTAAACTCACTCACTCCGTTCGACCAATCTAGTCGCGATCGAATTGAGATCGACCGTTTGTACTAGGACATCATAAGCAGCGGACAGACTGAGCCCTGATACGTCGCCATGTAGGTAATCTTTCTTCTTACATTTTTAAATTTAAATAAGCTTTTTGATATGTTAATTAATAGCTTCTAAAACATTATAGTTCCTATAATCATTCTAGCTTCATTGATTATTTTATAACAAAAGGTGATTACAAATTTAAATTTGAGTAAAATTACTTGTTTAGTATAATTATTTTAAAAAAAATGATTTATTATTTACAAAAAATATTTACTAGTCATAACTAAAACTATAATTCGAAAACGGAAATATGCGCCTAAAACAATTAAACAAAAAAATCTATATTTACTTTATAAGAGCGCCCTCTAGTAAAAATATTATATACTTGGTCCACACAAGCTCTGAAAAATATACTGTAAACAAAATTTAATTAAATAGGTCTGCTACAAAGTCACAAAATACCTTGATTTGATTCCCAAGATATACTGGACATGATTATAATTTAAAATTTGTACGCAAGAATTAAAAATCTTCCAGTTATTCCGAGTCATACTAAAATCATATCGGGTATTAAGTGGTACAAAATAAAACTTAAATAACGATTAATGCATTAATACGTAATTATTTATTGTTTATAGTTGCGCGATATCATTATATACCTACTAATTTATTTAAACGCAGCATTTACGTTAAATACAATAATTAAAATTAAATAGAACGGTTCACACAAATTTTCACATGTTCACATTTTAGAAAAGATGTCTATCTAATTTACAAACCAAATTACAAAAATGGCTTCTATTAAAATAATGGTGGAAAAGCGAAGTACGGTCTATTTACGCCTTCGTGTACTAAGGTGTCATAAAAGACTGACTGTGGTGCTTCCTCTCCAGCTCCTCCTCCAGTTCAATCAGCGTTTCGGGTATGGGCCCCACTCTACCAACCGAAACGTTGTCTTGTGTTTCTAACTCGTTTACGAATGGATCGTCGATGTCGTAGAAGTCCAGGGTGTCATGCAACTCTTCATTGTAGCCGTAGTTATATTTCCTTGGACCGTCCCTCATATGATTTGGAATGTCTTTCGTGCCGTGAATGACCAGTCTTATCGGACCAACTTGGCCTATGTTTTGTTCTTCAGTCTGAAACAAATGATGATCGAGATATGGAAAATGGAAGGCACAGGAAGAGAAGACGCCTGTTTTAAAAATACAATAAAATAATAGCTTGTTTTCATCACATACAATATTTGATACCACTGGTCTGTAACTCAGCTGAATTTCTAGTTAACAGTTACTTCATTGGTGAAATAAAATCTAGATGGCGATGCAATGTAGAGTGCATCGACTACATTTTTAAAATCTTACAACGTGTAACGCCCTCCATGTTGGTTAAGTTTAAAAATTTTCTGATTGTACGGTTATTTGTAAGCACGGCATCCAGTTTATTGTGATAAAAATAGAACAATTAAGTGAGTAGTGTACCCGATCTTCGACGATCAGCCGCCAAACACCGTCGGCTCTTTCGCCCCAAGTCGCCACCGAGGTCAATGGCCAGTTGACAAAGCCGGCCGTTGACGTGTCCCTAGGCCGCGCACTTAGGATCTGCACTTTAGTACCTTTACAAAAATAAATTAAACATAATTTTTTTTTTTATTATAGTATACTACGATAAGAATAATCTACTATTTTGGGGAGGAAATAAAAGAAATACGTGAAATGTAAAAGGCCTAATATAGTAAAACAATAAAACGAAAGGGTAAGTGATTCGGCATTACAGAAAAATAAAAACTGAAGTAACTCTGATCTGCTTAATACAAAAATTGCTCTTTAAAATTTACAGGCGCTTCGACAACAACGTTAAAACAACACATCACATCGTGCACTTTAGATATAGAATATTGAGTATAAGGAGTATTATCTCAAATCATCAGTGTCTATGAAATAAAATACATGAATATAACATTATTGTACCATAAGTTCTACATTTCAAAGTAAGCGCCAAAAGTTGCTGATCTTACGTTATCGAATTAACCATTCACATATTTATCTTTTTAGGCCATTCTGTGAATTTTAAGTTAAAGCACATATCAAATACTAATCCTTGTAATGTACGCTAGAGTAAAGTTATAAGTGGAATTCAGTAAAATATATAGACAAAGCGTTGAAATAATATCTTTTAATCTAGTTCAGGGGGCTATTATAAGCAACTTTTTATGCAATTAGAAATTTTTTTGTGTACAGATATAGGCATGGTACAATACTTCCGAAGGAACACATATGAAACATTTTCAAAGAACTAAAAATAGTGGATATAAACACAGTTTTGCTCACAGCGGCCAATCGACCATACCGCGTGGTTTTTTCTTAATATAATTACAACCTACTTACAGGATGAACGGTATGCCTGTAAGTTGAACTAGTCATCAAATATAACTTATCACTATTCTAAATTTAGACGTGACGAGAAAGAACAAACAGACGCACATAGTTTAGGTCTTTAAACAATATGGAGATGTATATTATTTCTTATTTGTTTTTGACGCTGTTTTACCTTGAGGAGAAACCAGATATATCTCTAATGCACCGCGTCGACTGTACTTTGCGTTCAGAATTAACTCGACGTGCTCAATGTAGTTCACAGCGCAGTTTTCGACGGTCACAGTAACTTCAAAGATTTCCTTCGAAGATATTATACTGTCACGCCCGCTCGTCCTGTAGCAGATAAAAAAATATGACGTAAGGTGCATTCGGCAAATTCCGTAAATCGGGATATTCTGATAATCACAATTTTTATTATCATATTATCACATAATAAAAATTGTGATTATCAGAATATACCGATTTACGGAATTTGCCGAATGCACCTTACATCTTGTTTTGTACCATCTTGCTTTTGTCATCTTATCAATGGATAAAAGACCGAAGAATTGCGTGTTAGTTTTAGTTTACAATCAATAAGTTATGTTTAGGAGCTGCCTTGGAAGAAGAATGACCATGAATGCATGTTCATAATATTTTTAGTTTTACCAAAATTACATTATATTTATTAATAATAAACATATGTAATAATAACTAACAACAATGTATATAAGTGAATTTTTGTTCATACCTACCTACTTGCCTCATAATGATTGGTGATGTATTTAAAAAAGAATGACTTGTGGTGGGTGGATTTGCCGACGACGACGGAAGACATTTTTTTATATTTTGGCAGCGGCATTTTCCCCAACACTGAGATAAAAGATGGCGAACTCGTTACCAGGATCGCATAAGCCCGCACGAGTCACGATCACAAGCATTACGAAGCGACGAGCGAGAGCCATTGTAAGAGTGAGAGATAAATCAATGGCAGCGCTGCGGGTTAGACAGGGAAGGGCTATATGAAAATATCAGCAGTTTAGAGAGAGATAGAAAGCAGGGATGCGGGATAGAGAGAGAAGGATTGATTATATGAAAATATCATTAGCTTAGAGAGAGATAGAAAGTTGGGCTGCGGAGAGATAGAGAGGGAAGGCATTATCAGTTTTGAAGAGAGATAGAAGATGTTCTTTCTCCTTCTAAAACGGACGACATTGACCTGGATTGACCCCCCAAGTCGTCGAACGAAGCAACAAATCGCGCACCAGAATCGAAGTATGTTACGTCATAACGCTAGATTTGACATTTTTTATTTTTTTATATTAGACTCCCACTAGGAAAAGGAGAAATTTGTTTGAAGGATAATTATTTTTATTTATTCTAATGATTATGTTATAAATAATATTTATTATAGAAATTGTAATATTCCTAATTCGTAAATTTAATTTTTTTGCCCGCCGCCACCGCGTCGCGTTCGCGTTTTCCGTCGGTCCGTTTCCGTACGGATCGCCGCGCAACATTTCCGACGTCCAAAGTACCAGGGCGGCATACTCACGGCAGAGCGTCGTAGCGGCACGCATCTTTCTCGGGAACGTTGTGCCAATCGAGCGCGGCCTTCACGAGGGCGCCCGCGTTTAGTAGGCCGAAACCGAAGCGTACGTCGAAACGAAATCCGGCTCTAGTAATAATAATTTATTATTAAAACATTTTAGATTTTTTTCTATTTATATCATTGAAGAACGACAGTTTCTTGGTTAATAACTATTACCATTGAAACAACTACGGCACAGAAGATAATGATGACAGCCTAAATATATGTATATTTTTCTACTGATCGAATTGTCAACTACTTAATTCATAAATTGCTTTAAAATTCCCTTTCTCTTGGATTGGGACAAAATGCTAGGTTTTTTTTTTATATTTGAGATGACCTGATTGACGTAGTGGGTCGTATTAACCTACCTCTTGCGCTAGAGGGTGTGGGTTCGATATCCAGTACTGGAAAAGTATTGTGTGATGAGGATATATTGTTTTAGTATCAAGGTTTAAAATGTATAGGTAATATGCATTTATTTACAAAAGGAAGATATGTTTACTTACATTTATCAGTTTTGGTTCAGTAGTTTTGGTGTATATATTATAAACTAAGTAAATATTAAAAAACTTAATAACTAGTTATTATACTTACCCATTGACCTGCCATCCAGGATTGTGCGATAACGGTGCGTATTCCGACGTCCAGACAATTAGATGCTGAACATCCCTCCAAGTTAAGTTGGGGCTTAAAATAATTAGAAAATAGCTAAACGATTTGTCCATAACCTCACGTCTTGCATAAAGTTTTGAACCTTTAATTATAGATTATTTTCTATAATGTAATTAAATAAATAATAATCAATAAAAATAATGTCAAATATTAATTCATCGTAATGTTATTGATAGACCTGTTCGCTTTAATTACGATTTGATGATGATTTTTGGGCGTTGGTTTAGGCCTTGTAATATGTTTTAATTCTAACAATGATCCAAATGAAAGGATAGAATGAATCAAAGTATACTCAAACGTTTTCCCTTCAATCATCTGTAGTGTATCTCACAAATAATTAGAATATAATTTACCACCAAGTGCATACATACATACTCTCGAATAACATAACCCTTCTTCTGTTGCAGTCGGGTAATACGGTACAACAAATAGATGTAGTTATCTATCAACCTATTCGTTTTTATTAAAATAAACGTGTCTTTTCAAGTCAAATTGGATTCATCATCAATCCGTTTAAGATAATACAGAGTATATTTATCTTCAATGGGAATTTAACTTTTTTTTTTAACATAACAAGTACTCCATGCCTTTCTCCGTCCACCTTTAGGCGCGAATGTTAGACAAATTGGGTTCAATTAATGCATAATGCCACTCACTTGGCTTGCAAAGCCAAAGCTATAATTCCTGCGGCCAGTGGTGCTGCGGCAGACGTCCCCGTGTGTTTTAAAGTGCATGAATCATTCGTGTCCGTCGTCGCCTAAGAGGAAAACGTAAATGATGACAAATGTGACTGTAAGGAAGTGAATATATACTACTAGCGGACGCAACAGGTAACATTTCGTAAAATCTTTGCCGACCTCTACTCGGCGAAAGGAATATTCCTACCAAATTTCATTCTCTACGCTTTAGGTTCCAGAGATATCGCGAAGAGTCAATTATCGGTGGAAATCTTATTATAGAGAAGAGAGAAGATAGATAATGTATATAATATAAAACATAGTGTGTTTAGTAGACACATGATTGATTGTATATACATTTCAGAGATATGATTGTATATACATTTCAGTAGTTCAGTACTAGCGGAGCATAAGTAGAAAATATATGAGGAGCAATTTTTGGTCGGGAAGCAATAAGGAAAAGTTGGTAAGGCGCTTGCGGTAGTAAAATATGATAAATTGATTTCCAAACGTAGTGTAGGGATCGTGTAAAATAAGTGGTCCCATTGGTGATCCGAATGAGTTTTAAGTACTCCTAGATTATCTCAAGCAATCGTCAGAAATTGGCTTCGCAGTCGACATAGACATGATTTGAGCAATCAAATATCATATTGGGTTTTAAGATCAAAGTTTTCATTAGTGTATTCTCTTTTTAATTTATACCATCATAACATGATCTACACAGACGTTTCGCCGTTTTTCGCGGATCTAAATCTGGTGAGTACCTATACTTTCTTCATGGCACGAGATGAGCAGAATTGTTAGAAGATGACCCGGACTTAACTATTTTCTGGTCCTTATAGGCTCCGGAAGAATATGCGGTGGCCAACGTGGACGAGCATATCTCCCCGTACCAGGGGAACAGACCTTGCTGGGACGCGCTTCCAATCGAAATGGTGTAAATACTGGACGAATATCTGGAAAAATGACGATTCATTACAGTGCGATTGACGGAATCTAAAAAAAAAATTATAGTTGCAAGTTACCCGTCGCAGTTGCAGTTATCGTTGTGGCCACCGCCATTCCCATTGGCCCACACGTAAATCGATCCTTTGCCGCCGCGACCCTTTAAAAACAATAACGATGTCGTGGAGTTTTAAAAATTCATATTGAAACTTCATATCGACGCTTGAAAGGCAAATATAAATTTAAAAAAATCATAAAAATTCAACTTATTGTTCGATTTAAATGATGATAACACTGGTAGAATTAATTTTTTTGTGGCTATTGAAATTGTCACAATAAGACAGCTCACACTTTTATAAACACCAGTTTGTGTCGGGTCGATAAAAGTTACCTGATTTCATAAACAGGTAAAATTATATAAGTCATCACTGTAGCATATGCTGTAACATGTAAAAATAGGTAAATTTACTTAGTTTAAAATTTTCATACAGAAATATTGATCTAAAATAATCAGAGTTTAAATTAATAAATCAAGTAAATTTACCTAACCATTATTTAATGATTTTTATGAATGTGGAAATTCTATCTAGTTATTAAAATTACTCCAAACCTAGCTTCGTAATTGACATTAAATCAAAAACTGTATTGGTTAATCAAGCACAAAAATAAATGAAATCAATTATGTATTATTATGGAATAAAATTCTTTATTAAAAATTAAACAAATGCGCTACGTACAAAATTAAATAAGGAAACTAATTAACCTAACATAAAATTTAGTCTGAGATCATTTTCGTAAATTGAACAGTTGTTATTGCAGTCGCAATTATAAATTACACTATCATATTCATCACTCATTTTCTAAAAAACTATAACTAACAATTTTAGGTAAATGAATTATCATGAATAAACTATTAAACATAGTAATGTTTTCAAGCTTCTGGACTGAAAAGAACGTGGTATAAACATCAATGGCGAATACATCACCCTTCTCCTATATCTTCTATATGCCGACGTATAGTCATCATGGCAGAATCGCAGGCGGACCTTAGTACTATGCTCAATGACCTTAAACAGTGCCTCTCAACGGGTGGACCTTAATATGAATATGGACAAGAAGAAGATCATGTCTAATGTTATTGTTGGGAGCACTGTGCTCGAATTTGTTGACCAATATGTATATCTAGGACAATTAGTCCGACTAGGTAAGTTCAACTTCGACGCAGAGGTTAATCGGCGAATCCAACTCGGATGGGCAGCGTTCGGGAAACTTCGGCAAATCTTCTCGCCGAATATACCTCAATGTTTGAAGACTAAAGTCTTCAACCAGTGTGTGCTGCCAGTGATGACATACGGGACGTGAGGACAGTGAGGATACGTGGTCCTTCACTGCTGGCCGTATGAGGTAGCTCAAAATCGCTCAGCGAGCTATGGAGCGGGATATGCTCGGTATTTCTCTGCATGATAGAGTTTGCAATGAAGACATCTGCAGTAGAACAAAGGTAACCGACAAAGCTCAGAAGGTTAGTAAGCTGAAGTGGCGATGGACCGCCCATATAGCTCGTAGAACTGATAACCGTTGGGGAAGAAAGGTTCTCGAGTGGCAGCCTCGTACTGGCCATCGCAGTATAGAACGACACCCAATAGATGGAGTGACAACCTGTTCTCTGCAGATCTATGGGGGATCTCGGTTAAGGTGATCAGTTCTATTATTGATGTTATATCGCCTTACCTAGCAACTATTTTTAATATTTGTATCAATCGTGGCGAATTTCCTGGCCTTATGAAACATAGTAAAATCATTCCGATGTTTAAACCTGGTAGTACTTCCGACCCCAATAATTTTAGACCTATCCCTGTACTGCCAACTCTTAGTAAAATTTTTGAAAAAATCATGTTTAATCAAATGTTACAGCATTTTAGCTCTCATAATTAAATATAATAAATAAACCCATATTGCTTGTTATGTAATAACATAACAAGCAATATGGGTTTACTAGGGGTCGCTCAACAACGGATGAGGGTGTTCAGCTTGTTATGAATATTTTTGAAGCCTGGGAAGAGTCGCAGGATGCCTAAGGAATATTCTGTAACTTAACCAAAGCATTCGATTGTGTACAGCATGAGACCTTGGTCAGGAAACTACGCCACTATGGTATAAGAGATGCCGCACTCAATCTTCTGAAATCGTACTTGAGCCATCGAATTCAGAGAGTTGACGTGAATGGTAAGAGATCTCCCGGGGCCCTGGTATATATGGGGTCCCGCAGGGATCTATTCTTGGGCCTTTTCTCTTCCTCATTTACGTAAATGATCTACCTTATCTTGTTAATAATAATCATGAGATAGTATTGTTTGCTGATGATACCTCTTTAATATTTAAAGTAAACTGACGTTCGTTAAGTTATGACGATGTAAACAATACTCTATCTACTGTAGTACATTGGTTTAGTGCTAACAATTTACTGCTGAATAATAAAAAAACTAAATGTATTAAATTTACAACTTCCAATGTTAAACATGTAAAAACTGATGTACTTTTATCTGGGGAAGCGTTGGACCCTATTGACTCAACTGTATTCCTTGGCATAACTATTGATGCCAAACTGCAATGGGGCCCCCATATTAATAGACTGGCGAGTAGACTTAGCTCAGCAGCTTTCGCGGTCAAAAAAATAAGACAGTTAACTGATGTAGATACGGCTCGCTTGGTATATTTAGTTATTTTCACAGTATAATGTCTTATGGCATTCTGCTTTGGGGTAACGCAGCCGACATTAATACAATCTTTATCTTACAACAGAGAGCTATTCGTGCAGTTTACAATCTGGGCCCCAAAGAATCGTTAAGAAACTTGTTTAAAGAGATAAAGGTATTGACTGTTGCTGCTCATTAAATTTTTGAAAATGTTTTGTATTTCCATAAAAATAAGGATAAATTTTTAAGACATAATAATGTTCATGATATAAATACTAGGAACAAAAACAAATTGATCCTACCCACAAGTAGACTGCGTAAAATAAGTAAATCTTTTATGGGACAATGTATACGTTACTACAACAAAATTCCAGAAAACGTTCAAAATGGTAGATTATATTTGATACGATTGATTCTCCTCCTGTCCTGCCGATGTAGACGGTAGATCGTGATATGAGGTAAGTGATAAATATGGCTAGTTCAGCAGCTAAAGTGACTATCTGTTTTGAGAGAGTTTTGCATAATTTGATCGATTACCATGTCTTCATTGAATTTGCACCAAAATGTTAAATACGCCCTCTCTAAGCGACGGCAGGCGCCTGGTTGAGAACCCGTATAGACGTGTCACTTCACGTATCGTGTATATCTATACAAAGTTTTTGAAACCTACGCAGTTCCTTAGCGACGGAAAAATAAAATTTGCGTACGGGTAAATTTATCTACTCGCCATGCTTAGTCATTAAGAAGATCAAGTAGGACTATATAACCGATATCATTAACATTAACAGTTATCAAGTAAAAATATCTAAGCTCTAATTTTCTTCCGCTTTATTTCAGGTTAACTTATACAAAAGACATTCACAAAATATAATAACAAGCTAAAATACGTAACCACATGAATTACAATTGCTTTTTGTAGGTAAGATCTACTAAGTAGTTTCAAAGGGAAATTTCATAACAAGTAAAAATTCGTAAATACAAATAAATGAAAAAGTCAATATATAAGAAACCGACTAAGTTCATATTCCTAATTTTCAAAATGTCGATGTGCTGCAGTCTTAAAATCAATATTTTTTTGTCGTTTAGTAAGAACCGTTGACCGAAATCTCTCAATATCTAAGCGACAAAAAACTCGTTTTAGAACTATGAGACTCAGATCAAACGACGCGAAAAATTCTGGCGATTCGAATGGTATATATATAACTCATTTTAAGGATTTTTGTCGCTTAGTAAGGATAGGCTGTCAAGCGTCGATATAGTAAGTGCAATTACAAACAATATGTATTTCGTGGATATACAGCATATGCCCGGGATACAAAAGCTCTATCTAACATTGAGTTAACTATGTATTAGAGAAGAGGTCTCAACTAGATTATTTGCAATTTGATTGTTTTTGCGTTTAACACATTTTATAAACAGCTAGTTTAGCCTGCTTCGCTAGACGCAACGACAAGTCTAGTGTGTTCTGCATAACTAAGTTAAATTTAACTCGAAATATATGCCTTCATATGTGCTGCGGTACTGTTTAAACAATTCAAAAAATAAAAAATTAAGCACAAGGAATCACCTTTTACATGATGATGTTATATAAAGTATTATACGTATGTTTTCTCTACACGCTTGACAACGCTAAAAGCTGTCTAGAGCTGCGTGATTGAAGCATTTGATTAGACGATTAATGATTGTTTCAGCACTGCAGCAAACTTTAGTTGTAACTCTCAACTCAAAAATGTTAATATAAGTTAGTTATATAATATAAGTATATATATAAGTAATGTTAATTATAAATATAAGGAACAAAGAAGGTTTCTCAAAAAAGAATTTTTTGGGGTGGGATATCTTCTATAATGGTAACGTAATTTAATAACTCAATATCTCTAGATACTGACAAAATATGAAGTTTCTAACATTGTTTCATAATATAAATTTTACCTTTGTGACGCCTCGTTTAAATGCTTCAACTGCCAGTCTACCAGGTCCTTCTATTGTTCGTCCATCGTCGTTTGGACCCCATGAAGCGCTGTAAATATCAACTTTGTCCCATGCGTAGCCTGAAAATGAAAAGAAGATAACATATATTTACAAAAGAATCATCTAGTGACAACAAATACTAGCCACAACAAATATTAAACGATAAAGCTAAATTTTTATCAGTTCTTTTTTCTCTTTAAATATAGGTAATTGAGTAAGTAATTTTCGGAAGTGACGTATAAAGTTTTAATACAAAAACACTGAAATATTTTAAATAAAAAGAAGAACAAAACATTTTTAAAAAAGATTTTTGTTTGCTTCCCCCACCCATATCAAGTCGGTCCGTTCACACTTTGCAGTTACGTCATATTTTGCTTCTGTTACCAGGAGAGCATAAACTGAAAGCACTCTTGCATGTAATTGAATGTGGAGAGTTAGCGGAGTTTATTTATTTATAGAGAGGGACAGACAACAAGGCCGCACAACCTCAACAATAAGAACTTAAACACCATTCAATGTGTTCATTTTTAAAGTTCAGTCTTAAAACCTTTGATATAGGACTGTAATTGCAGTCCTATACATAAACGAATTTAATATTCGTTGGCGATAACAATTGAACTCTACATCCAGCGGACAGGTCAAAAAATACTTGCAACATTAATTTTTATTTATTAAGATTATATTATTTACATTAGTAGTTAAATTATGTAAAATATAAACTAATAAGAGAAATAAATATGAAAACAAAAATTATTAGCTATGAGGAGAATAAGCTGACCACGATTGAAATAAAATAAAGATAGAGGAGGGAGAGAGAGAGAGAGAGCAGAGAATTAAAAAAATATTATGTGCGAAGAAGCAGCGGCGACCGCGCCCGTGCAAAACGGTAAAACGTGCTCAACATGGCGATCCACAGTACTAGGGTATAAGAAAATTAAGGAGTGTTATCACAGATGAGAGAAGCCAAGTATCGTCGATATTTTCTACATAAAACATTTACAAAGCGGAGAGAATGAGACGCAATGAACATTCTATTTCGCCGGCGCACTGTTGCAAATTAACATAGAGGTGATTCATGCTCAACATGGCATCGAAAATACCAGGCGGTCATGGCATGTGACATTTGTAAACAAGGTCTTCCCTCCTCTGTAGTTCCGCTGCGGTCGTTTTAAAAACGACCGCAGCGACCGGTGAGTATATCGAACAAAATTGGTGTGCTGTGCTGGGTGGGTGGGTGCACCACATACGGGCGGCGGCCGCGCATGGCATTTCGTGCTCAACATGGCGATCAAACGTACCAGGCGAACATAAACAAGAAAAGGTTGATTACGGACCTATCGCTTCGCCTTCGACGCGGTCGGTTATTCGTCCGTCGAGCATTCGGACTCCACCCACACTCGCTCGAAACGCCACACCCACCCCGCATTTACCATTGTTCGCGGTCATTGCTATCTAAAAATATTAAATCCAATGGAATAATAGTGCTTACAAATTTTAAAAATAATTTGACAGGAAACAATTGTATTTGAAGTTTGCTTTTGGCGCGTTTGGAAAAATTATGACCAGTTTTATCTTGGCATAATTACTTTATGACACTTACCAATAATTTATTAAGTTATTTAAATAAAACCTATACACATACTTTTTTTCTACTAAAAACAAAATCTTACTTCTCCGGCGCAGCGTGTTCCGTGGGAGTTACCATTATGTGCCTCTTGTCTAGGGTAAGGATCGGGATCATGGTCGTTACTGTCCCAACTGATCTCTGGATCCTATAAAGCAAAACTACTTTATCGATAACATTTTGATAAAATCCTTGAATTTTCAAACAGAACAAGCAAATCATATCTAAGTTAAATTGAAATTGTTCCGTATACAGTGATCATCATCATGATGAACGAAAATAAAAAAATCGCTATTGATGTCTCAATAAGGGAGGGGGCGGGGGGATTATGACGTATCAGACGAACGAAGAACGCAACTGAATCCGAAGATACCGGTGCGACGCCCCGGCCGCCAAGTTACCAGGACATCAGGAGCTCCGAAGAGGTTTCTCTTAGCTACGTCAGTAAAACGCAACTTGACATGAATGAAGCCGAGTTGGTTGATGTAGGTACTTCTGTTATGTTGTATAGTGATCTTATTGAGTATGACTGTTGTAGAGTAAACATAACAAAATACTGGGTGTTCGTTAAATTATATCAACCCACCAATAAAAAACCCAATAAATAAATGGTTTCGTTGTATTTTTTAACAACAGTTACTTTAACCTACAATCACGTATCAACTATACGCTATATTACCAGGGCTTATGAAACGAAAGAAGTGCTAACGACAGAAAGACGTCCGCTCCGCTAAAAAGTTGGGAAATTTAATGTTATATATAAAATAAATAGTATATAATAATTCTTTATAAAATATAAAAAGGATAAAGGATCCTCGAAATGCAGGAACGTGATAAGAAAGGAACAGCCGTACCGGTAACGAACAGGGTAAAAGCTTTTTTATTAACTCTCACTTTGTTATTTTTCTGTACGAGTTTAGCCAAATTGCTAGAGTAATTAGATGATAATTATAATTACCTATATAATATGTATAAAGTATTTTTTTATATTAATAAAAATAGGTAGTTTATTCCTTTTCAGTCTTAGAAACCTGAATTAGTGCCATACGGAATGTGCTTTACACATGAAAGATAATTAATCCCTAAATGAAGTTTATGAGTGCATCCTTCTCTTTACAATGAGGAAAGAAAATGACGAGGGCAGGCGAGGGGAGTAACCGCGAAACGCCCTATACGACTTTGTACCACGGAAACTTCCACCGGCCGCCTCCATCGTACCAGGCGAGCATGAAATTACGTAGTTAGCGCGCAGATCCGTGTGATTGTGCTCTACGCCGTCGTCCAAAACGGACACGCGAACACCGCGCCCGTCGTACCCCATACGGTATACGGACAGCACGTTCAAATCCAGCCGCGGCAGATTTTCGTTGGTGCGGGTGTCTTGCTGAAACAAAAAAAAACGAAACAGTCGTTACAACGAGTGTTTATTTCAATTATAAACAACGAAAGATATACAAAGAAAGTCGTTACAACGAGTGTTTATTTCAATTATAAACAACGGACCTCGTTACTGTATTTTGATAGCACTGCTTGGTAGGCAATGTTGAATATCAAAATTTCTTCTAGTCTAGTTTTGTTCAATTTTTGAACTTAAAAATTCTAATGTACTGCTGCTTGTTCAATTGAGATCCATGTCGAGCTACTTATGATACCGCTATTATTTGTAACAATAAAAAGTAAAAGTAAGCGATAAACTATTTTAATTATTCTGAAGAAGGCATTCGTATCAGCGGTGTACTTCCAATAAATCAAACTCAACAATTCAGTATAAAAACTATTGTGATTAATTAAAAACACTAATTTACTGCAAAACTATCCTAAACACTCATATCGGAGAAAACAATGCGGAATTCGCATCAATTAAAAGTAAATAAGTTGTGCAAAGCCGTTTTCATATTTCATTTCTTCATTGTACATTTGATTTTTAACATGTAAAATAACTGTATTTAAATGTGTAGTAGTTGCTTATATTTAAGATAAATCTGTACTATGTAATATTATGTAACATAATATGTTATGTAACAAAAATTCTCTTACCAAATACCACTGATAGCCCCAAAGTTCGTCGTTGAAATTGTTAATGACTTCTCTTTTCTTCCTGTGCTCGGTAGATACATTCATATCTTCTATACGCTTCACTCTCTGCAACTCTATGTCCGAATTGGATATGGGGTACCGCTTTACCCGGGATTTAACGAATGATTGCTCAGCCCAAACTATCTACACAATAAAAACATTATTGTCAAAAGAAAAATATATCCATACAATATTGTACATGTCATAAAAATCGTATATACAAATTTCAGTCGATGAAGATATTTAAAATTGATTAAGCAATCGAATGTCATTTCATAACACTTTAGCCAAACAAAAAAATGTTTAAATGCATAAATTATGTACGAACATACGAAAATTATAAATAAAAAAATACCAATTTCTCTAAAGATTTGGCACAAGTGTCTTATTTTTCTTTCTTTCTAATCTTATAGAAAGAATTTAAATTATAAAAAAATGGTTAACAAGATTGCAAAATGAAAATTAATTTGATTAACACAAACTGAGTGCATTCAAACGAAGTATTCGAGGCACATAATGTAATATTATTTTTACTTTTATATTTAGTTGCCTTTCAATAGTTTTCAATAGTCTTTTCTTGTAAATTTTATAAATTAATATTGCTTAACGATATCGAAGCATGTACCTAGTGTACATATTTTTTTGGTGGACAGCATATATAGGGTGTCGCAGAACTCAACGTCAAGCCGAAACGGGGTGACAGGATTGAGTGTAACCATCATGAGAAAAATCAGAAAAAAAAACTATCCCATGCAGTTTGGAAATTATGGGCATTTAAGAAAAACCTAGAAATCTGGTCAAACTGTAACCATTTTCCGGTTATTGTGATTAATTTTTATTATTTTTCTTCATTTAAACTTTGGAAACGTAACCCTAAATAACTTTTCTAGAACTACAGTCAGGGCCTTTCAGTCTTTTCTTAAATGCCCACAATTTTCAAACTGCATGGGATAGACTTTTTTTCTGATTTTTCTCATGATGGTTACAATCAATCCTGTCACCCCGTTTCGGCTTGACGTTAAGTTTTGGGACACCCTATATAAGTTGCCCTTATTTAGTTTAATGTCAAGATTATTGTACTGTTTGCTGTTCTGTGTACCAAATAAAATAAAATAATATGTGCCATTAAATTAATTAATTGTGATCTCGAGAAACAGTTGGACACACGCACATGTGAGTCGCACGGGCATGCGTACGTACATACATACGCGCCGCTAATCCAGGCCAATGACACTTGGCGGCCGAACGCCACGTGTATTGTGGTTAAGTTCTACCAGGGCCGCATAAAGCGATTAAGATATAAAATAGGTCGATCCGGCACTCACCCTTCTGTCAGCGGCAAGTGACGTCACGCGGCCGGCGGGCGTCCGTCGATGTTTACTGTGCCCATATGCGCGATACGTGTAGGTATTCGGGAATCCTAGTACCTAATAAACAAAATATCCGCTTTAGCATTACACGTCGACGTGATAATAAGAACACAAGAAGAAACTATATAATTCATCATCATCATCATCTCCAGCCGCAGGATGTCCACGATTGTGAACATAGGCCTCCCCCTTAGAACGCCAATATGAACGACACTAAGCCATTTGCATCCACCACTTGCCCGCGACTCTTACAATGTCGTCTAAATGGAAACTATAACATACTAATAAAAATTTTATTCATGTGTATTTCATAAATAGTTTTTAATTACCATAAAAATACAATTATTTTTAAAATTACTAATTGTATTTTTTGATAAATAAATTTCTTCATTCAGCTTTGAGTCTACCATCTCTGTTTTTCTACACTCAAACCAGTGGCCCTTACAACTTTATCAAAGAATGTGTACTATCATGATATTAAATTATTAACACTTGAATTCTAATAGTAATTCACAATCACGTTGATTAATGATAATATAAAAGTTTGATTATTATTAAAAACATGGGTTATTCAATTTCCAAGTATAAGAAGAAAGTAGTAAGTAGTGCAAGCTGCATACAACTGCAGCTGCTCGCATTTATACAATCCTGGTAAATGACGTTTAAACAATGGGGATGTAGGCGGCGCTGTTTGTCCCGCAGACATGTTCCACCGATTAAAACTGGCTGCCTGCTTGCTACTTGGCAAAAGAAATTAATTTTTATATTATCATATGAAATGAATTTGTTTTTATAAAATGAAATAGGAAGAAGAAATAAAACATTTATTTGTTCATGAAGGAATAAATTTAATGTATTATTGATTAAGCACTTCATTACAATAATAGCATATTTTGCAGATTTAGCTTTTATAAAAATTATTGAAAAAATGTATTTGTAAATTAGTTTTATACTATAGACGTACAGACATATATTCATTTTGTTAAAGCAGAGATAGAAATTAATATGTAATAAATGATTTTACTAGAATTTTTTTTATGTCTATCTCATCTATTTATGTGCTCAGAAAGGAAAAGAAATAAAGTTGTCTTTTTATTGAATATTCATAGCAATAGTACATAACTAACAATTCAATCACTAACTAAGATTTTCTCACTTTTTTTACTTTAATTAGATTTTAATTTAATTTTATAAACATGTAGAGTATGTAGTTAAACTTGAAACTTTAAATGCGATAAAATAACAAAAAAAATTGTGACGCAATATACAATTTATACATATTTTCAGTTTGATTAGTGTGTTGTGTGCCAACCTGCTGGGTGCGAGAGAGAGAAAGCGCATCGTGACATGATCTTGTCAAGTTAAAATTGTGGCGTCATACGCTGTCCGAAACGAACGATTGTATTAGGGCTGCATAAACACTAGGCCATGGCCTGGCACACACGTTACTCGATACCGCTTGTATGTGTATAAAAATATACACCTACACATTACACAAAACAATGCCATAAATACAAGCAACAACCGAAATTCACACATGTATTTAATATGTCATGCAACATCCATAAATTTTATTTTGTTAATTTAAATGGATTAAAATAAATAAGGGATACTTTTATTAATTATTGGGTAATTTTATTTAATTATATATCTATTTTAATCTGCATAAAAATATTTGCTAATATGGAATACGACTTGAAAAAGTATATCTAAAGATATCTAAGATAAGGGTAGGTGGTTGTGTGACATAGTGCCACTTTGTCGGGGAGACATGTGAGTTTTCACAGTCACGTATGTATCGGGAGAACAGGAGCGACGAGGAAATGGTTTCAGTATGAACACAATAGTTATGTTGAACAGGAGACAGGGTTAAGGGCATAGCTATATGCGAAGGGTGCAACTGCGTCGAACAGAGGTCATCGACATCATGTAAGCTTGGAGCTTGTTTTATTTAATTTAAAGTTCTCTAAGCATCGTGAAATTTTTATTTTTAATACGTTAATAATAATAATTTGATGTTGAGATACGTACTCGGCCGTTGAGTAGGAGTTTTTAAAAGGCTTTTTTGTCCTTTACAACATTTATTAGCCAAGAAATACAAAGTATAAGTAATATTAGTTTATTTTAAACGGAACGACCTTCCGCTACGGCGATTGAGCGAGATTAGCATAGACCAATATACTGTTACTGGAGATTAGTTGGTCGATACAGGTTTGATTCTCACAAGATACCCGAATTTACATTAGCAGCCAGCCCTTTTATGGGAATAACGTACATGCATCGCATAATTCATGTGAACTATCGTAATCACTGGGCACTTCACTATAGGTCGATTTCGGTATGTGTGTACGTTGTACTTAGGTATATGTGAATATGCATAGGCAACGAGTGAAAATACTATGTGAATAATCAAAATTATAAACATTCTCTTTATAAACAAGGTCATAGGGTTTAGTTTAGTATGTCGTAGGTACTACATTATCGAACGGTTTTATACTCAAAAAAGAGACAAACTTTTAAATAAAAAAACCATGAAATAAATGAAAAGGGAGAAAGGTATATATGATTTTTACTATTTATACTTCTTAATTTCTTATCTTTTATTTAATTTATACTTCTTTAGGTGCGTTATGAAAAAATGATGAGAGTGAAATAATAGGATTAACGTAAAAGTCACACCTTCAAAACTGCTCGCTAAACCGATAGATGGCAGCATAACCTCAATCACATTCACCCGTTACAGTTCTCATGAAAGAATGTAGATGGCGCTTTCATAATTTTGCTCTACTTTTGAATATTTGTATGCATACTTATTATACTTAATAGGTCAGTTTCAAGTTCTTCTAAGTGCGTGCATAAGTAATCATAAACATTTTATTTTATATAAATTAATTAATAAAATAGACAATTTTCTAACATAGCCAATATCGTTATTACTATTAAAAAACAACGCTTTCTAATTTTAGTGTAGTGGTATCAATTTCAAGCGCATACAATTTCCACCTGATTCTTGTTCATGAAGAAAAGTCTCAAGGACAGCAGCCGACAGATTGGAGTTCTGAAAAAATCGAGTTTAACTCGAATTCATGACAGTTCATATTCGTACCACTGAATTTGACGCCAGCGCACAATCGAGTAATTTCTACGATATTACGTCATTGCCAATGGCCTCAATTTGAATGATTCTATTTCGGCGAGTTATTGTCATATCTGCCTCGTATTATATTTGTATACTTTATCGTAGGCTTAGGCAATGCCGTCTCAAGCCATACGGGGGCTTTGGGCACACACGAATTTGGAGGTCTATTGGAAACTAAAAAAAAATACGTCTCATCTTAAACGTACAAAATCAAGATATGGCCTGATATCGCCTACAGACGAACAGACGAACAGCGTAATCTTAGTAATGGGGTCACGTTTTACCCTTTGGGTACAGAATCCTAAAAAGCCCACGACACTGTTGACACTTCAAAACCTCAGTACAACACGAGACCAATTCACGATGCAACCATTACTGGCCTCACTAAAGTGGACCTTCAATACCCCATCTCGATACCTCATGACCCCAGTTTACCTTTTATACTAAGTCCTACCCTATTAGCCTATTTACTAGTTCAACTAAATTTCAATGTTCATTCAATCTTAAGTAAATAAATTTGGTGGTATTTCCATAATCTTGTAATTAATTAGGTCCATTGGACTCTAATTAATTACAAGATCATGAACCGAAAGTACTAATACTAATACTTGATAATACTACTTAAAATTATCACCCCACTATCCCTTTTACAAAGATTAATTTAATATCGAAACGCCTTTGAAACGGAATAAAAGCAGAGAGTAAGGGAGTAAAAGGGAGCATTGGAAGGTAAATTATATGTATATTTTAAAATAAGCTTGACAAAATTTATAATTTCGTTCGCTAACGGAAGGTATTTTCACCGTGAAAGCAATACCAATATATCGTTTACTTGATGTAACTTCACATTGTCGCCAGCCTTATACGCTTAAGCCTTACAGCTGTAAGCGTCTATGCGCGCCTGATACCAGCTGAAAGTTTTCATGAAAATCGTGTAAAATAGAACTTCGCGGCGCTCATGTTTTCCTAGTATTTTATTTACATCGATCTAACTTGCTACGCGAGTGAGACGAAAGACGATCGAGACTGTATTTGTCTTTTTTTCTTTTCCAACAAATTCTTTGATTTTCTAATAGTTACTTTGTTATAAAATCAAAGAAATAATATTTTCGTCATCTATTTTCTAGCTTATTGTTATTATAGTCCCATAATTATTTCCAAACATTCGGTAATTTCAATAAAAGGAAACAGGTTGAAAACATTACGCGCGTTACATGATTTTCCACGCGCTGATAAAAAGTTGGCCACGCCCCCTGTTTACTAAACAAATCATGAAACCAACGCGCTGAAAACGTACTCTTTCAGTTCTCTGAACGCCTGGTAATAGCGTCGCCTAAACTACCGTAAGCGACGCCTGAAATTTTCAGTCGGCCGTCCGACGTCAGACGCCCTTCATCGTCTCAATTCAGTTTTTTATCAGAGGAAACGGAACCTTAAATTCATGACATCTTTGTAAATAAAATATTGGCAACGTATTTGTTTTAAATAAATCTTATTTATTATTAAATTATCCTTTGCGTTTATTGTTACGTAAAAAGTGTACCGAAACTAGATTTTATTATTTTAAACAGTGTGGAATTAAAATGTCTCCCACGTTTGGTACAAAAATTTTTGGTAGTATTCGCGTTGGTATAAAAATATTAGTTTTAGTATCACCGCCATTTTAACAGGAACCTATAATAATAATCATATTTAACAAATAATCAAAGTTAAGAAAGACATCGTAAGTGTTGTTTGTATTTATAGAAGGTAACACCATTTCATATGTTATTTTTAGAAAGCCGGCATCCCTGCAGTTTATATGCAATAGAACACTCGCAAATCAAAAGCACTTAGTCTAACTAGCGTCTAACTAGCGCCTAACTAGTGGCGACTGACGTAAATCTGGTCGGTCGTGAGCAATTTAATGTCTTTTTTT